GGTTGCAAAAACTGGTCAGAGACATGACTAACGGGTTTAATAACAGAATGCAAATTGCTGTGATATTCTGCTTAAATGAGATTTCAGTTCTGTGAAATTATATTACAAAATCAAATGCAGATTTGCAGAAGGTGGCATCTAATCTTTGGGTTAGCTGTGATTCCTTCCAGATTAATGATGATTAAAGTTTTAATGTTAAAAGAAGTCAAGAGGCGGTCGACAGCCTGCAATTAATATCAGTTTTTATTAAAAACATTTTGATTCGCCAAGAGACTAAAGGAATATGAATAATTGCAGAATTGACGGATGAGCAAAGGTAAGGAGTCTTCACCGTCTGGCTGGTTTTACGATTCCGGTATATCTGAAAAAATATATTTTATCTCCACAAGGTGCCAACATTTCATCCCTGTCCATCTGTTTGTTTGTTAGTAATTTCGTTTGTTTGTCAGCAGGCCAGGATTACACAAAAACTACAAAACTTGGAAGGATGGGATATCAGCCAAGAAAGAACCCATTCAATTTCGTGAGACCGAACGAAGAGGCTGGTTAATGTTGTTTTTTTTTAAATCACTTTTTTCCCCCACTAAATTTCAAGATAGGGGAAATAAAATCAGGCCTACTTAGGGGACTGTTACCTATGAGTGTGTGTAATTTGTTGCAGATCAAAATGAAAATCTGGATCTAGTGGATTTAAATGTGGTTTTATTGGAGGGTAGGCTTTTGTTTGCTTTGTCTTTTTATCTACCCATCATTCTTCCTCAGTGGACATTATGATTTCATGATCTGTTTTGTTGGCTTGGCTATAAAGCTTGATTGAATTTAAGGGGACTGTTGGGTCTTGGCAGAGGTATGAGCTCTACTGGGTGCCATTCTGGTTGCACTCGTGGTTTCGGAAAAATAAACTGAAAGGTTTCATTGTGGATCCGAGCTAATCAGTAAGTGTAGCATGTCAATAGACATAAGTTAAAGCTTTTAAACATTGAGCCTTTTTGCTCTGCTGCTTTGTAAAAGCTTTGAACTGGTCAACTGCGTCCAGTGGGTTTTTAGTGGGCTTAGCTGTCGTGGCCCCTTTGTTTAAGCTTCATATAGAAAACAGCAAAAGCTATAAAGTTTTTTGTTTGACGCTGCAGGTGAGTGGTCACAGGGTTCACCACTGGTTTGTGTGTGTGAATTGGAGAAGAGGAGAGTTTATGGGTGACATTGAAGGAAGGAATGCTGATGTGTTAAACTGTACAAAATACACACACACACTATAAATCTGTCAAGCCTGGTGATGCTTGATGTCATTCAAAGTGCCCCGATGTTTTGCATAAACTGCCAAATGACAGCATAAGAGGAAGGAGAGATAATCAACAGAGCTAAAGAAAGAGGAGTATTTTTAGAGAGTGCAGGTATAAATTTGTATTAATGACTTTCTCCTTTATTTAAAAAGCAACTCAAATTCATCTTCTAGACAATGTAATGGACATTTTTCTGTTTTGGGGGCAGAGTAAACATGTTTTTGAAAATAACCAACAAGATAGAATTAGATTTTTTAGAAAGTAATGTTTACTTTCTAAAAAATCCAATTCTAACACATATCTTTTCAGCATTGTTTATTCTAACTCCTTTCTATGTGAAACATAAATGCAGATACCGATAGGTCTCAGTAGCAGAGGATCTTTATTGGAAATCTGATAAATCATTCAGGTTCTATCATTTCCTGACATTTTAGAGAAATAACTCATGGATTGTATCAAGAAAATAATCAGCAGACTAAGCGATGATGAACAGAACCGCTGCAGCCGCACCGTTCGATATGAAACGTATTTGTTTTGCACTTTTAATTTTAAAACCTCACGTAACAAGACAGATTGACAGTTGTTGGTGACAGTTGGGACCCTTTTCTTATTATTATTATAATACACACTCACACTTGGAGGATGCCCAGTGAAACCATTCGGCCACTGAGCAGCTCCACCGGAGCAGGTGCACATTCACTGCTGCGTTCAAGGGCATCTCCGCAGCCGCGATGGATGGATGATTGCCTCTTGTTCAATTTATCTATTCTGATCCCCCATCGTCATCCCAGGGATTCAAACTGGTGACTTCAATCTCTCAGTTCAAGACACATTTGAAATTTACTATAGCTCGAGGAATGTGAGCAGAAGAGGTCCGCGAGCTCCAGAGTGAGAATTAAAGCTTGTTGCCTTAAACTGCCTCAGTGTCTTTGTTTCTTGGAGGAGCCAGAGGAGGTGATACACAAGGTGCTACATGGGGCTCCATTACAAAATGTGGTTTTGCTGCCAAATCACATTCAAACAGGACGTGAAAAATCTGTGATACACGAAACACCTGGATGCACAAGGCAGAATACAAATACTGATTAATTGCAGGGACATTTCTGTACGTGCATGTGTTTTTAACTACAACACCACCGGCCCCACTGTGACCTGAGCTGCACAGTGCAACAAAGTAGTCCCCTGCTGTGAGGTCCACCGAAGCAACTGGACATGTCAACTGTCTGAGGTTAGAGCTAAAATAGTTCCGTTGAATAATTTAAATTAATCAACTTCAGACAGCATCTGTCAAGCAAAGATGGTGCAAATCTGTTGCTTTCAAATTCTCACATTTGAGATCTGACTGTCACGACAAAACAACAAATCTGCACATCTTGGGCTCTGGGAAGTTTTTTTGTTGTTATTTGGTGGATATGATTTATGACCAACGATAATGTTCTTTATCTCTGGTTAGAAGCTGCACCTGACCTCAGACTGAAGGGTCAAGTGTTTCCTCTGTTGTTTCAGACATGTTAATAGTTCCACCTCCACAGCTCAGCTTCTGCAGAAATCCCAACAGAATTATAAACATTTTCTAAAAGACCATAAACACTTGGATCAACGCCTATTTTTATCTGAGTGTTTGTACTTTGTCTGCACAGTGGCCAGAACAAAATGGTAGCCACCCCTCCTGTGCAACTGGTCCGTCAAACTCCAGGAACTCGTGAGACTACAGAGCAGAGGTGTGGAACAGCAGGCGGCTGCAGCTTCTCCTGAATTACAAGAAGAGCAGCGCACATTTTAAACTCAGATCTTCAGAGAACAGGTCGATGCTGATGATCGGTCTGAAACACAACAAACCCAGGAAGGGGGGAAGGAGGGAAGGAAGGAATGAGGCTGGACTGAGCTTCTCCAGGACTGATCCACCTGTAACGACTCCTCTGATAATGAACAGAAACTGATCATTTCATCAACAGGAGCGTGCACGTCTAAGATGAGTGATCGATACCCGGACGCGGGATCGATAATAATCGGGGACTCGTGGGATGAAGAGGAAGAAGAGGAAGAAGAGGAAGATGCCAAAGACCCATGAGGATGAAATATGCGCCACAGATGACACACACACACACACACACACGCAGACAGATGGAGCGCGACTGCGAGGCAAGAGCTGAGAGGTGTGTGTGTGTGTGTGTGTGTGTGTGTGTGTGTGTCATGCATATCCGAGGGGACTTGAAGGTGCAGTGGTCGCAGCTTCTTCATCCGCCGCGGAGGCAACTAGGACCGGTTACGCAGTCCGGTCCGTCCCCCCCCCCCTCTCCCATCAGTCAGCGGTGAAGCCATTGAGTGGCAAAGAAAACACGCACACGCGTACACACACGCACGCAGCGCTCACCTCTTTCGTGTTGACGATTCCCTTCACGTATTTCCCGAGGACCGAGTCCACGCACAGGAGGCTGCACAGCACCAGCCACGCGAGTCTCTCCCCTGCCCTCACCTCCATCTTTCTCTCTCCCCCGCCGTCGCTTGTCTGAGATCCCGGGCTCCCCGAAGCCCGTCTCTGAGAGGCGGGAGCGCGCACGGAGGCACGACTCCAAAAGGAGCGCGCCCGCAAGAGAGAGAGAGAGAGAGAGAGAGAGAGATGGGGTGGGTGAGAGAGTGGAGGGGAGGGGGGAGTGAGAGAGGAGAAGAGAGGGAAATGAGAGGTGAGCATTGGGGGTGAGAGAGAGATGGGGTGAGGGAGAGAGGGGGGGTAAGAGAGGGGAGGAGAGGGAAATGATGAGGGTGAGAGGGGGGGAGAGAGAGAGGGGAAGCGAGACAGATAGTGTGAGTGAGAGAGGGAAGGAGCGATAGGGGAGGAGAAAGGGGGGTGTGAGTGAGAGAGAGGAGGAGTGGGAGTGGGGGGTGAGTAAGTGAGAGAGAGAAAGAGAGGCCGGCCGCGTGCACGATGTGCATGTGGCCCCTCCAGGAGCTGGTGCTGGTGTGCGCGCGTCCGGTTCCGCTCGTACTTTGGGTTTGCGACACACGCACGCGCATTAAAAATGCCACTGCTGATTGCAATCATGTTTTCATTAGAGGTCACGCGCGCGCACACACGTAGATATAGAAGAGAAAGAAGCTTTTATAATTTCCTTGTTCCTGCCTACGATGACAGATCTTTGAATCTTTGATAAGATTCATTTTCATTCAGCAGCAACAAGGGAATAATGAAATACACACCGAGTAAAGGAAAGAAGTGAAAATACAATATAAACATGAGAAACTATTAAAACTAGAATTGTGTTAATGTACAGTCCAACATAATTGAATGAACAATTTATGATGTACCCAAAGTGACGTGTTGCTCATTTATACTGTCCGGTGGTTTTACCCATCATATTCTATAAGCTTATGTTTTTTTCATATATAGCCGTCAGATGATGAACGCAGTACTTGACAGTGATGTTTAGAGAGGAGTAACATCAAATAGTAATACTCTTGTAAAACGCAAGTACCTCACTGTTGTACTTCCAGAACTACATGTGTTCTTCCCCCTTCTGTGAAGACAAAATAAATGATTGTGACAGAGAGCTCTCTGTATTGCGCATGTAAGCATTTGATGTGATATTTTATATTTTTAAGAAAAGGTCGTCTTTTTTATTGACTGAAACTAGTCTCAGTATCACGGGAAATTCGTTCATTTTTTGTGACCAATTTAAATAAGTTTAATTCATGAGTTTGGACACAACAGCACATTCATGGGAGAATATATTTATTTAGATAAAAATCAACAGAAGAAGAATCCAGCCTAATTGTGGCATATCAGACAAACACTGGTATGAAATCTGCAAATGCAGTCCAAGAAAAAAAAGGAAATCATTAAATCTGATCAACAAATCTGAAAGTAAAAATATCTACATGGATCATATAATACACATTCTTTTTTTTTTTTAATTCACAGGTTTGCACTTGTGGTGTTTTCAATAAAACAAAATAAAAAGGTAAAAAATAAACTTTAAAACAACTTATGTTCCAGTCTATGGCTTGTTTTTTGAAAGGATATTCTTCTTCTAAATCAGCATTGCATTTTACAGTGCGGAGCAATTTGCATATAGGCTGCAGGACGACTGGCATCGACTATCACCTGCATTTTCAAGGATACCAGTGAACAGCAAGGACAGAACATTACACGTTACAAGATTCCTCCTGCAGTATTTGGTTCTGTCTGAAATTAACTTTAAATGAAACTTATCCGACTGAAATGAACATTCACTCCAACAAAAATAATCAAGCTTCAAGGGGTGTAGTTAAATCTACTACAGGACATGATATGTAAGTTGCTAAATATGAAGTCCAACCTTGAGGTGATTCAAACACATTGTATAACAAGAAACAACCAATTAACATGAAAAATAGTGTGATGCTGGTGTGCAGCTGTGAATATTGACCTAAAGGTTGAACCAACTAGCTCACTTTTGCAGCAGCGTTGCATTTTTCATTGCACTTCATTGAAATCAACTCAGGGCAAAGAAAATCTCCAGTGAGAGCAGCTTTCCAAGAGTAAAACAAACAACAGTCGAGGTATACAGTACAAAAATTGAACCACTGAAACTAGTTTGTACTCACAGGGAGGATTTGGAATCGTAAAGATGCCCTGTGGATTGTTTTCACACAGACTGTGAAGCAGCAACACTGATTGAAACAGTACTGAATCAGACATTTCAGCTGGTAGTCACTGGCAGCACGTGGGCATCAGCGGAGCCATAATAATGTCCGGAATGGGAGAACTAAATGAAACACTGAGATACTCTTCAGTTCATAAACGCCTCGCAGGCTCCGGTCTGTCAGCAGCAGGCAGCTTAGCCTGACACAACTTGAGGGGAAGAGTCACATGAAGGTCAAAACACAGACAGGGAATTCATTTGACACAATTTTCTTTTCCTCGTATAAAAAAAGTGCTGATGGCCGATCAAACCTGCTCGTCTGTGCTGGATCTTTCACAAATAAACCTGCTGTGCCAGAGGTCCGACTTCTCCAGACAACAACAGATGATTTATGTAGCTAATAGTCTCGTCTGTAAGGTGCCATTCCCAAACGACACAAACAAAGCAGACGTGAGCTCACGTTTCTACAAAGACTAATGTGCACGTGCAGACTCCACTTGAGCCGCACTCACAGGCACCAAGCAAAGGAGGAAAAATACAATAATAAAAGCGACGTGTATAAGTTTAAGCTTAAATACACATCGTGGATTGTCATACCCAAACCACTGCGAAAGTGCAGAGTCAGCATTAGCAGTGAAGCAAACTTCAACCCAGCGCATCTGAGAGAATGAGTGTATTACTCTCTTCCTCTTCACGGCCCTGGTTCTCTCCATCAATCTGACTAAACATATTGCGGTAAGTACTCGGAGCTGACAGAACTGAGCATGGCCTAATCCTGTAGCATGACTTTGCTGCTGAAAATCCTGCTCTTCTACAGGAGGGAGGATTTTGCACTCGAGAGCTTCGGATAAATCCTATTCATCACACAGCATCTCTCTCTACAGACCTGGCAACCTCAGCCCCGTCACCAGGCAAGGGCAGGACAGTGCCAGCATTGTTGGCATCTATATTTAGTTGGACCTGATAGAGAGACTGACCCTGCGAAGGACATTTTAGTACACTTCAGACTGCTTGAGTGGCATCTCGCTCAGAGGAGTGTCCTTGGGTTATTGAAAACAAAGTCAACCCCAAATGTGATGGTGGGAAGCAGAGAAGAAAATCTGGACCTCCACTGCCAGCCCCTTCAGCTGGCCAAACACAACATATGTGGCATTTACACAGCACGCTAACAATCTCTTTCCTCGGTCAGTGCCCTCGAGTGTTCCCTAAAAGCGTCTGATCTGTGGAAAACGGTTGTTGGGCAGGAAATCCCCTGGCCCAACAGAAGTGGTACTTTGCCACAGTGCATACGGTGCAGGAAAGTAGTGAGCAAGAACACCTGCCGAGGAATGGGAGCAACCCTCGGAGAAAAGTCAGTGCAGTGAAGTTTAAAATATGTATTGATAGCTGAGGGCTGAGCTCTTCGCTGCCCACCTCCCTCTCTAACATCAGTTCTGCAGAGTAAGAAGGTCAAGCAGCCTTTTTCAAAACTTAAAATAAAAACATTTTGCCTGTTTCAGGCAACTCACAGCACTGATTGAGGATGAGTTTTCAAGCACGTACTTGTGTTCCAAAAATGATGCGTCTCAGTGCATCTCCACAAATCCCACTGTAGCATCAATAAAATGCAATATTTGCATTAATAACTTCAGCACAACAAAAAGCACCAGGCAGCATCTCGATAAGAGACTAAGTCGCTGTGGAATATTCCACATGTGCTCTATCCCATCAGTATGCATTAGTGAGAACAGGGCACGAGTTTAATTGGACAGTCCTGGGATGTCAGAGCAGCAGTGGCTAAAGAGGCAGAGGTAAATATTAAACACATTCAAAAATGTGGAATTAACAGCATAAGATTATATTAAACAAACAATATAACGCACAAATCAACATGGGAACCCGTCAAGATTCAGATTATACTCCAATACAAAAACCAAAAAATATAAATAACAAAAGTAAAACTACTGCATAGGGTTAATAATATGATTAAAAACTGCATCAGAATCTCAAGATGCAAGTAAATCAATTCCTCCAGTTTGGAGCTTTTGTTGTTGAATTTTACCTTTTAAATTCTATTTTAGAGAGAGTCCACAGAGTTATCATCCACAACGTGAACTGCATCGACTGCCAAACCACCATAATGAAGAACACAGTGCAGAGTTATTAAGTGTGATTCAGAGTGGCGCCCTAAAGGACAAGTGGCCATTTTGACAGGGATGTCTCTATACAGAAACATATCGTGTGCCCACCACCGTCTGATTAGGGCCTGAAATGACTGCGTCGGCCTGGATGATTCACCCGTTCAGGCTTCGTCTCAAGAATCTTCTGCGCTGCTTTTAGCCTGAGCTGCCAAACAGCAACTCTGTTAATTATGTGTGCTACACGTGTGGGTGAGCGCTGCTCTTTGATCTAAGTAGCTTTTAAATAACCATTCGATTCTTTAACATTAGTGTCTTTAGTGGGCGTGTTCATTTTTTTGTCTGCCAAATTTGCGTTTGTGCACAAACAAGTGGCAGAGGAAGATTCTGTGTTAAAAAGGGACATTCTCCTCTACTACCCCTGTCCCCTCTTTTCTTGTTCATAGGATCATTTCTCTCTCGTCCTTTTAGACACTGCACTGCCTACATCGGTTTGACTTTCATTTATTCTTTCTTCCTTCCTTCCCTCGGGGGAACATCAGTCCTTGTTTTTTTTAATCTATCCTTACTTAAGCTCCAATACCGCCAGCATCAGTGCTATTCTGAGCTGCCACAGTAACTAAGTCCTCCCCATCAGCAATTTTGACCCCACGCCCGACATCTTGCTCCTCTTCCTCGATAGGACCAGTAAAGAGGGAGGCACCCTCCCCAGAAGAGGCTGACACACCCCTATCGGTCCGTTCCAGCTTTCGGTGCTTGCGCGGCTCTGGGGGGGTGTCCTTCTGGGTGAAGACAGCGCGGATACGCTCCACGCAGACGTTGGCAGCCTCTCTCGTCTCCTTGGAGAGCTGCGATAGGCTGAGGAAGCCGTGGGGGAGGTCGTCCACCACACACAGAGTGACAGGCTGGTCCAAGTTCCTCAAACGCTTGGCAAACATCACAGAGTCATCCAGCATGGGGTCTAATGCACAAGCCTGAGAGGGGCAGAGAGAGAGGAAGAGGAGGCGAGCGGGAGGGAAGGGGCATAAATGCTTAAAATCAAATTAGGATTCACTTCAGACATGTCAAGAATCTTAATGAAGGGATGAAGAAAAGGAAGCCAAGCGTCCCACTCTCTTTTGTCCCCACTGTTGCTGACTCACTCTAGCCACTTTAAAATCAGAACCTCATTTTCATATTAACTCAACCTAATCCATCTCGCACATCACACTCCATCTCGCTGTCACAATGTTGGCAGTGTGCAGTCGTGAGTGCTCTGTCTGTATCTCTAAACATCTTGAAGTTGCCTCATTTTCCCTCTTAAACACCTTCTCATCCTCACTTTTCTTCACCGTGATAGACAAACGGTCCTGTTCTTGCTCTGCTTCTGTATCGTATCTACAAAGTTTAAAACCTGTTTCAGTGACCAAAAAACCCCAAAACAATCATTCTCACTGAAGGAAAAACAAGTTGCAGGGACCAAAAAGATTGTCGGTCATCTTTAACTGGTGGAATAACGTGCATCTCTTTATCATTCTGTTGATCATTCAAATGGTTTGTTCTTCTTACCACTATATGTACAGGTGGCAGGCCTGTCAACATGCTATCAGGGGCCAGAAGAGGTGAGCAGAAAGGATCCTTGACCACTGGAGAGCTATTCAACTTCATCTCAGCCAGCTGCTCTGAACGCAGAGGTTCAAACCCAAGGGGGAACTCCCTGCAGTGCCCCAGCTCTGATCCCTCCTCTCCAGCAGGTGGTGGTATGGCCACTGAAGACAGGTCACTGGACATGGAGGGATCTGCATCCTTGCAGAAGAAGAAATTCACATCCTCTGGCTACATGACAGAGGGAAGGAGGAATTAATCAAGTTGGGTTGGACAGCAGTAAGTGGTCAAGGTAGAATGGAATGTCAGGGAAATAAGAAATAAGAGGAAATAAAGCATAAAATATTTGACAGGCAAACTTGGTTATATATATATACACACACACACTCACAACACTTTGTCCTTGTGAAAATCTAATAACCTTGGCTCTGTGCCTGACAGTCTTGGCTGAACAATCCCCATTTCAAGGAGGAAAAGCATATTTAAAATCTTACGTCACCTCTGCTTGCTATTTATCCCAAGCCAGCCACTAATCTAGTCTGCCTGTATAAAAATACATGCAGGGATAATCTGCAATGCCTTGCCAGTACCTGCACAACCAAAAACTGCAGGGTAAAAAACATTGTTCCATACAGGGCCAAAATATTTGTGCTGACAAAATATTTGACCTCTTTAATACTTAATGTGAAACCATTTTAAGGCCAGATGTATGAAAGCAGACATGATCTGATTATAGATAAGAGGCTGGTGTGAGTTTACACAGCAATGGAGCTTCATCATCAAATTCCAGACCAAGATCAATTTAATCACAGGTTAAATTCCGACTAACAACTCAGTGTCCCTTTGAGTTAGCAACTTAACTTCCTCTGGATAAGAGCATCAACTGAGAGCACGCTAATCTCACTGTAAACAAGTTTAGGAGAAACGTACAGTGCGCTCAGACAGCAGTGGTGTGCTGTGCAAAGTGGAGCTGCTGTGAGATCCCAAGTCCTGGCAAGTCTGGCTCTTCACAGATAACTTCCTGGTGGGGAACTTTGAGAGTTCGGAGGGCACAGGGGGATCAGCGTGAGGAGAAGAGATGGACGCCTCTGATATGCTCTTCCTCACTGCATCTGTGACACAGAGAGAGGGGAGATAAAGGGAGGGTTAAGTGTCTAAGAGAAAAACAATGAGAATGTTTATTAAAAAAAATGAACAACAGCCATCTAAATTATAAAATGTACGAGGGATTGAAAGGTCACTCTAATTCACTTGGGGCCAATAGCAGTTGGAGGACACAGGAAATTAAATACACAGTAGTACACAATCACTTTTACTTCTTCTAGTGTTTCCACTTATAGTATGTCCTCTGGTTGAAAGCCAACAGTTAAAAGCCTAAAATGCAAATTGTAATATCAGGAAGAAGAGCAGAGAAGTGGGTGGAGGAAATTCAAATAATGCTGTCATGGTGATATCATCTGCCTGCCCTGAGCCTTCAAAACACAGCTGTAAGAGTCGTCATGGCTGGTCTCCTCACAAAGAGCTTCCAATCTCCAATCCCTTCAATAATGAACCATCTCAGCACCCTGATGGCCGTTTAATAATGTACACCCACCAATGACATTCTCATCAGTTTTGGACTTGCAGCTGTGGAGGTGTCACCTGGCAAGGCGGACACCAGGGAAATTACAATCTGCAACCAGATTTAAGGTGCCGACAGTTAACAATGACTGTCAAAGCCCTGCTGCTCCAAACAGGTGAAATGATATGAATGGGACAGCCGGAGTGTTATGCAACTCGGAGGGATAAAGTGATAAATGTTGAGCTGAACACTGAACAAAGGGGATTGGCCTCCTCCATATGGGGTTTATATGAAGTTTGGAGGGAGCTGAAGTTGTTGAAGTCATATTATTTAAATAAATGAACACACTGAAAACTGGAGCCCAACAGATGTATCGGTTGGCCCATAAAAATCTGCTGAAATTAGCCTTTCAGAATAAACAATGCAGAAAAGATGAGGATTATATTCATATTTTCTGTTAAAAAATTATTTTCTCGATTCAAGTTCTATGTTTTGTTGCGTTTTCTTTTTGTTTATAATTATTTATAATAGTTTATTGTTAAACTGTAAAATATCAAGTATTAATTACAGTTGCTTGTCATAAAAGTTTGACAATAACATCTTTGGAATAATTGCCTATGTTTATATGTATGTAAATCTCCTTTTTTTTTACCCCGAAATATTGGTAGCGTCCCCTAAACTTCATATTTTTAGAGCTTTTCTGAAAACATGGGCGGAACACACTCCCTCTCACTGAGATCTGATCTCTGTGTCTAGATATGATCAAAGACATAAGCAGATAGCATCTATAGACAACTTTGAACACCAAAGCTCTCTGTCAAAACACATTGATACCACCCACACATCATTTAAAGTTCTTGGCTGGGTGCATATGAAAGCAAAAAACACCCATGCACAGAAGGTGGTTTACCAGTGGCTCCTGGTGGCACCTCTGCAGCTGCGCCAGAAGAAGCTGGAGCTCTGTTGTGATCCAGCAGAGAGTGGATCCAGTTGGAGGCTCCCTGTCGGAAATCTCGCAGCATCAGCGCCGTGTCTCTTCTCACCAGGCTCAGTGTGCTCACTTTCTCTACCTGCTTCTCAGTCTGTGGCTCATTGCCTGGAGGAGGAAGAGTTAGGGGGGGAAAGAGAGATGTGAAAAGTGTGATAGCAGTGTAAAGATACTGCTGTGGGGGGCGGCTTCAATGCTGCAACCCAGGAATTTGTATAAGACATAGCAATACAAATAATGACAGTGAATATTATAAGTCTTCCAGTTTGCTTGTTGAAAGGAGACTTAGGAAAGACGATATCTCTGTGTAAGAATTGGAAGAGTTGGCATATTCCTGTCGTCCTCTTCAGTTCTCCTTTATGAGACAAAGTTAGTCAAGTGACTAGCAACAGTTTATTCTGCAGATTACACGCATCAACGGCAGCAACAGAAAAAACAAACAATAACAGAATAAAGTGCTGAATTGTTTTTGTAAGGGAAGGTTTTTCAGACACAACTATACTTTCTTCTGAAGGAATTTTACTGTCCTAAAGTTTGATTTGTCAAATAAATATGAATGAAATCATTTTTATATTATATAAGTATTGGATTACAAAATGATTGAAACAGATAGATTCAAGAGGGCAGAACAGTTTTATGAGTAATACTTGTTTAGTCCTGTACTAAAAGTGAATTAATGGGCAGTGGAGTTCAACAACAAAAACCTACTCTATCTTAATTTTTCCAAACAATTTAGTGATTTGGTCATGAATTGATTAAAAGTATTAAAATGAGCTTGACAGCTATAAAATGCCAATTATTGCTCGGCTTTTACAGCACTACAAATTGAATATTATATATATATATAATATATTTTAGAAAAGATATTGCTAACTTTTAATGCTACAAAAATATTTAGCATCATTATAAACAAGCCATCAATTAGTCTGAATTATCATGCTGGGAGCATCTTTGATGCAAACAGCAGAGACAAGCATAAGTGCTGGGAAGTAAGAAAATGGAGGAAAATCTAAAACTGAATTCTCAACTTCATTAGATAAAAAAGAAACCTGGCTTGATTTGTTTAAAAGCACGCACACACACACACCTGCGTAGGCACTGAGACACCTAGAGAGCACACTGAGCGGAAGCAGGGGATCCATAAGTGAAAGCAGACGGGAGGGAGATGCGTAGGCAGTCAGCAGGGTAGCCGGGTAGGCTGCCACGATGCCATCTGGCATTCGAACACCAAAGGCAGCCGCTCGCATCGATGTCGTCAGACACAAATTGCCTCCCGCACTATCCCCAGCCAGACATACTTTCTCTCCGGTCCATCCTGCAGAGATAAAAATGGGATGCTGAGTAAAGAAGTGAAGAGAAAAACTGGAAGAAACAAAAGTGAATTCATGCGGAAAAAATTAGATATTGAGCATGAAATAAATGTGAAATCCAGAGAATCAAGAAACAAGAAACAGGATCTCTTTTCTCCACCATAACACTGCTGAATATGTGGCTGTTGCTGAGGGGGTGTTGTCTCACTGACTGTTTTATGACCGTGATATTGTTGTACTTCAACATTAATATATTGCAGTACAGTCACTGTTAATTTGACACAGTGTGCTTCAGCGATCAGATTTACCCGAAACCGACCAGATGTCTTTAGTTTTCTGCCTGAATATTGAGCATCGCAGCAATTTGTACCAGACTACAGAGCGACGCGTACAGAACAAGACATTGCACTGAAGCGTGATTACTTTCAAAGTGATGAATGAATAAGGGAATTGGAAACTGGAATAGGTTCGTTTTTTACTCCACTATTGTGACTAATAAACAACTTGATTTCCTTTCATGTGCACAAGGCAGCAGTATTCAATTACAATTCAAAGTCCACTTAGCCAAAATGTTCTCAAGTAAAGGTTCAAGCTGAGGAGACTGTGAGGTTTACAAATAATCCCTGTACTCTAGTAGTAAAGAGATGTAATGTTAAAATATTAAGAAAAAAATACAGAACAGACATCAGAATAAAGAGTGTAGTTCGAGTTTTTTTTTACAATACATATCACGAGACGATTTATGATGAATGCATATGGTGTGCGTGTGTTCGAGAACCCTATACAAGCAAAATATAGAAATTGATAAAATAGAAACACTCCATCCTCGATTATTCATTAATATTGGTCTAAGGGGAGATAAAAGCCAGCATATGAACAATGTATGGTAACACTTTATATTAGAGAGCACACAAAGTGAACATTTCCAAGCACTTGATTGTAATTCATGTACAACAACTTCCTTACGTACCATCAATAAGCAGTAATTAGGAGGCTATTAAGGGAAAACTGTTAATCGATGGAGTAGGTGCAGAATAAGGTAATTAAGAATAAGGCATTAATAAGTGCTTTATAATGACTAATAAAGAGCCAATATACCTCTAATATCCATGCTAATAAGCGACTAGTTAATGGTTGATATGTGTTCCCTAATATAAAGTGTTACCCAATGTATAAACAAGGCTGTGAGATGTGTCGGTACCCAGTAGGTGGTGGTTTCTCAGAGCCCAGCAGTAGGAATAGAAGCACTCCTCCAAGGCCCTCGGAAAGGGGGCTTCAGGGGCCAGGGAGTAGTCAATTGACAAGACGGGGACACCAAGGTCCTGGGACCAACTCTTCAGATAGGGCTGCACAAGACAAAGGTATAGAGGGGTGAATTAATAGATTGAAAAACAGTCAAGTTTCAAAATGAATATGTTGTTAAGTTTATGAGAAACAAAAAGCAGCAACAATAAAACACAGAGACAGGGAGACAAAGAGAAAGTGTTGTGGTAAAGAGATGCATTGTTAAGAAACAAGGATAAAAAGATACAAAGATTATATGTCCCTCTGATGTCATCTGTCTGCTTTCTAGTTTATTGTCTAGACAGAAGGGAGAATCAGGGCTGCACTCACAGTCATCACTGTTTCATTTCTCCTCATTTGGTAATAACAAAAGTGTCTACATGTCCAGGTTTGCAGAGTATAAAAGTAAAAGACTGACAAGGGGATAGTGTGGATTAACAGTGATAGTCAACAAAAACAAAAGTGGTCTCTGTCAGAATACTGAGTGCGACTTTCTCTCCAAGTTGCTACAGTCACGTTACGTTTTTACTATTCTTACACCAAACTAAGGAAAGTACTTTACTTCAGAACTGCAATGCAGTGACCTTGAAATGCGAGAAAGGCATCAAAACTTATATCAAAATAAACTTTCCTTCCCCTCTCTTCTGTCTCTTCCAATACCTATTTTGACAAGTTATGACAAGGCTGACAGTGGAGGCGACAGCTCTCCATTCACAATGCCGGGAAAAGCAAGTTCATGCATGACGCATCACCAACCAGTGATTCGTTGTGAAAAATAAAATAAAAAAACAACAGCTTCAGCAGTCAGCTGTGCTGTCTTAAAGAACCACCTGTCACAATCAATCTTATCGTGCGACTTGCTGACAAGCGAGTGTGTGCATACAGTCCAAGCACTGTTAAGGTCAGGCAGTGTGGGTTTGTGCGAAATAGCAAAGGTAATTTTAAGGTGTGTGTGTGTGTGTGTGTGTCACCTGAGTGTAAACAACAGCCATTCTTAAAGAGACGAAAATGAGTGTCAACATGCGGCTCCATGAGCAGACCAGACAGTTTATCATCAGTCTACATAAAAATAGCAAAGCACTCACAACAAACACACAAGGGGCACGTGTGTGTGTTTGCTGGGCTGGGACCAAGGCTGGTTAATTTTGTATGACGCACACTCACATCCGATTCACCAAGTAAAGCACACACGCACTGTTCAAAGGGTTGTGGATCTGTTCTCCAAGCAGGAATTAATGGGAGCTGCAGTCACTAGACTGACTCTAAGACAGTCAGGAAGAACAGTTAATCAGCGACTTTTACCTCCTCTGTCCAAACAGTGTGTGTGTGTGTGGGTGTGTGCCAGTGCGTGTGCATATGTGTGTGTGTGTGTGTGTGTGTCCACGCTGCTAAATTCAGAGATGCCAGGACATTCATTCCTAAGATCTCAGTATTTTTGGGCAGCAAGAGCACAAAAGGTTCCTGAAACTGAAGTCGAGCTCTCAATCTCGCCCAGAGGACAGGAGAGATAGGATCAAGGAAGGGATAAGGGATATGAGAAGTACAGAAGACAACATTGGGTTCTGCCCTCGGAGAAACTTTCTCTTTGTCTGTCCTCTCTTCCTTGGCCTTGCCTGAGGGATTAAGCGAGCAGAAGGCACCCAGTAAAATCAGGAAGCAGGAAAGTACATGTCGCCCAAATAAGACAGGAGAAAGATGTGGAGAAGAACACTTAGAGAACAAAAGGGATTTTGTTAGATATTAGAAAGAGTGAGACTGAGGATGTAAGAAAAAAAGAGAGCCTAGAAGAAGAAGGGACAGGGATAGTCTGACAAGTTTTGCATTAGTGCCCAGGGTAATCTTTCTCTGTAGGGTTGAACAGGTCTCCGCTAATTCGACATGACAGCCTGCTCACCCCCCTCTCTGATTGCTCCCTCACATCCTTTGGTTGCTATGCAGCCGCAGATCAAGGATGCGCATGTCCTTGGTGATTTCAGAGAGGCCTGTCTTGAAGTGGCTATAAGTAGCCTGGGGCCACATAAAGATTGCACATAGCCACAGATGACCACACCAGTGTAGGTAAATAGGTGGGGCATCAAAATAGACAGGTTAGACACTTCCTGAGGCTACTACTTTATAGTCATTGATATAAACTATTGATTAAAGTGGTTTACAGAACATTTGTTTTACAAAGTAATTACAAGAAAGTGTTCAATCACAGTGATCTATAAATTAGTTTCGCTTTTAAAAAGTAAAAAGAGGAGTGAGGATAAAGTGAGTGACAGGAAGCAACAATTTATGTGAAAGAGAAGAGCCAACTTTTTGTGCACTTCACCGACGAAGAGGGCATGGAAGGAGGTTAAAGTGTCTGTATTCATTTTTCAGAGATTAATTACAATATAATTAGCTTAAAGGCTCATTACGTACCACACTACTGACAGAGGAGGAGACTCAAAATGGAACCCCCCCTGTTCCTCCACTGTCAACTAATGTATGTCTCCTCGTCACTTTAATTAGCTGAGGTTCAATTACGATTTGCCTGAGACAGTCAGAATGTGAAGTATGGAAGGGATGAGGTGGGGAAGTGGATGGCGGCTGTGGAGATCCAGACTTAAATTTGCACAGGTGTATTATAACAAAGGTGCAGTGATGTCGGTATGTGGCTACGAGGTTTCCAATTACAAATTATACCTCTGCTTCCTGCATTTTGATCAAATAATCCATTGTGAATATCGCAAATAAGTAAAAAAACATGCATATACAAACATGTGAATAGAGTTTTTAGAGTTAAACTTTCCTGCAAAATAATAATACACTGAATTTCTAGTCCAAGCTGAAGAAACTCCAAGAGAAACTGAGTTAGATCCAGTTGGAGAGCACCAATTTACCTCATGGGACTTGGACGTCTGGGCCACAAAGCCCCCTCCATGGAAGTGGATCAGCAAGCAAGGAGAAGAGGGGAGTCGCTTGGCCTTCAACCCCAGCGACAGAGAGATGGATCCTCCCTCAGAGCGGGAGAGAGATAGCAGGGTTTCACTGTCCTGGAAAGAGTGAGACAGAAAGGTATTAGTCTAAAAAGGTCAACTAACAGACAAACAACCATGGCCTATTGTTTAGATCTAATATTTCAAAAAACATCACATGATGACAAATCATGACGTTTGCCTCATTCTCAGGTATTTTCTGCAAACAAAAGCTTTTTTCATTCATAGTATATTTTATTGACAGGGGTCCTTTGGGAGAGTGATTAAATGGCTGTTCTGCAGTAGCTTGCTGTCATCCCTTCCTGCTCCTGCATGAATGCAAGCTAATTCCCATTCATCAACAGAAACAAGGAGGGAGGGAGGCTGTGGGTAAGAGAGAGGGTTTCTGCTGATGCAGGCTTGTAGTTTGCAACATTAAAAAGGACACTGTTGTTTTTCTGGAGCAAGATCAATGGCTGAAAGCGTTTGCTGATAACACGTCTGGTTAAGCACCAGTCTACAAGGGAAGGAGAACGAGCTCAGAAGGAGAAAGGGAGTCTCTAAAGAGAATTAGGGTTGGAGTAGGAAATCTGAGAGTGATACCTATGAAGGAGGAATAGGCTGAAAGATAATGAAGAGGATTAAATCCAAGGGGACACTTCAAAGCTGTCGTTTACTTGGGCAGCTCAGAAAAATACGGGACATACGAAATTTACTGTTAAATAATTTAAATAATTTGTTTTACTGGAATAGGCAAGGTCGTTTATAAAGACCCAGTGGAGGAAATTTGTCACAAACTAGGTCACACAACAAATACTTAACAGTGGCAACAAGGATGTAGCTTGAGACACATAAGCAGCAAAGCTAGTAGAGTTTTGCATTAAGTTTGAGAGTGTGAAACTTTTTTTTTATTGCATTTTCCTCAACAACCCTGGAGCATAAACTGAATGATGATTTAAGTACCTGTCCTTCACGCAAGTCATAAGAGATGAGCCTCATCTGAACTGGAGCAGTGCCAATGTGCGCAGACGGTGGAGAAATGGTTACAGATACTCTGTGGTTGGCCGCCAAGGGAAGGTCAAAGGGCACAGGGGGCACAGAGAGAGGCCGGTTCACCTTAACCTGAGTGGATGTCATACTGGCCAGACTCTGGTGGGAGAACGGTGATGGAGAAAAAGAGAGCGAAAGAGATGGAGAAAGAGAGAGAAAGACACAGAGATTACAAGTTACAGAGAGAGTCAGGTCATTGGAGAGAAAGAGAAACCAGATGAATAAATCATGAACCCTATTGAATAAATTGAATTTCACTCTATTATAACTAACAGCCTGTAGGCCAAAATGCATAATGATAGAAAGGTACATCCTACCAAAGGGAAGTAAAACATCCCTGATACCGTTTTAAAATTAAAAACGGGGCAAGGCACTTATCTGTGCGCATGGGTTAGCAATGACAACATGGTTATATTACAGATGTTTTAGGAGCGTATTTGTTTGTATATGTGTTGAAGGAAGCATTAACAGTCCACTCACCGACGGGAGTTCAGTCTCAGTAATGTTCCAGAAGGTCTTCCAAAAATGGACGTCCAGGTTCTGGGTGATGCGTTCAAATTCCGCCCCTCTCAACTCAGGGTCAATGGCGTACTTCCCTGAGGTAAAGAGCGAGCTGGCTGCCACCCCTGGTGGATGGAGGAAGGAACAGAAAATGAGGAGGGTGTATAATGTGTAGGAGACACCAGAGACAGGGTGAGACAGGAAAAGATATGAGAGTAGAGTTCAGAGAAAAGAACAAGTGTATGATTGAGGAGGTGGAAAATGGGAATGAAAAGTGGTTTGCGAAGACAAAGACAGGAGCTCAGAACAATGGGTATGAGAACAAAGACAGAAACTGTAGGACGGAGGGCAGGAATGATGGAAAATCAGAATTGCTAGTACATTTTAAGGGAAGGAAGGTGAAAGGTTGGAGGAAAAGAAAAGCTTGTCAAAAGAGGAGTGTGACAGTGCTAAAACACAGCAAACGTCAGAGATGTGGTTTCAATTGAGACAGTCCAACTCGACAGGGTACATTTGCTTTTATGTCGTCACAGCTCTAACATTTTTGCCACAGGATGGTTCCAGTCTACTGTGCAACAGTCATGTTTGACCAGAGGCACTTCATGGAATTAAAACCAATTCGACCCTACTTTTAATGCAAGGTGTCAGGGATGGGCACAAAGGCAAATGGAAGAATGTGAACTTTTATGTATCTCAGGCTTTAATCTATTGAATGAAATACAAAATAGCGAACAAAGCATACAGATCACTGTACAAGACTATCACGGACAACAAGAGTTGTGGAATAAAAGCAGCTCATATCATCATGTAGCCTCTCAGTTCACTACAGAGGACTACGAAGAAGGGGCACGGGGTTCCAGTACACTCACCATATGGTGCAATACCTCCTGCCTCCACTTTGAAGCAGCAGAGAGCACAAAAAATCCATAAGAGATGAACGATTCCTTTTTCAATGTTAAATAATTACGTGTGTGTGTGTCTGTGTATGTGGTGCAAATGTGTATATGATTGCGAATGTTCTTATTTCTCTGCCTCGGCGCATAACTGTGCGCGTGTTCAAAGCATTTTGAAATATAGACGAAACACACCAGCTAGCCTTCAAGATTCTAAAGGATGAAAGAGAATCTAAAATCCAAACACACAACATCAAAAAGGTACACAGTCGGGGGCCAAGGAGCAATGTAAGAGAGGCGTGGGGATGGATGAGTACGATCTATGAATGACAACGAAGTAGCTGGATGATGAGAGAGTGCAGCTGCAGACAAGATTATGCTGACCTATTCCTGACTGATGGCGCTTGTAGTTCTCTCCAAAGGCCACAAGGCCGATAGCAATGGTCTGGAGACAGGGTCGGATAGATGGAGTAAACTGGTGGAATGGACAGAAAAAACAAAGACAGACTTTGAATTCTAATCAATCAACCAAATTCCAGTTATTCAAGACATATGGTAAATAAAACAGCAATCATTCAATCAGAGAAAGGTTAAACATCAATAATAAGAATATCAGATGAATCTTAGACATTATGAATTAATGGAGACAGAAGACAGGTTTCATCTTTTATTCCCCTGTAGGCTGATCCTCACTTCTGTCCACTGAGGGTTGAGCCTCTCTAGTTAAGATGAATGAAGAACAGAGGCCACGGCTGTAAAGAGGAGCATGTCCTCCACCATCCTTTTTTACTTACTCCATTTTACTTGCCGATTTAAGCAGCAGGAGTCTTTTTTAAGCCCTCTATTCTTTTCCTGGCTTTGACAAATTTAGACTTCTGCCACTACTGCTCTCTGCTCAGGGTCAATCGCTATTATTCTAAGAAGTCAGCGGAGCAATGTATTAGTACTACCTCTAATGTCAACAGGTCACTTGACATCATGTAAGGAAATGAACATCCTTCTGACTCTTTACCTACAGTGGCTTCTTTTATTTCCACAGGCCCACATTTGCATCACATGAAGCCACTAAGCATGCAAGGGTACGACTTCTGACCTCCCTATCCTTTATTTCTTCTATCTGACTACCAGCTGCTGTGCAACGCAGCTCTTCTCACCTGAAAGCCCAGGCAACGGCCATAGAAGCATCCCTTGTGCATAGATGAGTACTCGCGGACAAAGCTCTCGCTGAGGCCACTTTCGTCCTGGAAAAACAAGTTGCCAGAGCTGTTGTCATGTAGCATGCGCTGAGCCAAGTAGAGCAGGGCACGCAGCTGACACAGGGCGCTGCAGTATGCCTCCATCTCCCCTGCATTGTGCGCTACTCTAAAAAAGATGCTGCGGCGATTGGCGCTTATGTAGCGCCCCTTGTGGATGATGTGGAGAATGCAGCAACGCACCACCTAGAAAAAAATGGAGAATTTTGAGAATTAGTTTTTGCAAAATTTAAAATCAACACTTTCAAGACATGCTACCATCTTAATTTTAAAATACTGACAAGCAAAGCCAGTCCGATTAAATTACAAGCAAATTGAGTAAAATGAGTTATAAACAAGCCATATAATATTTACAAAATACTATCTGTAACGATATGCATCTTTGACATATGCATAGTGCACTTATGGTCATTACTTCTTTTAGAAAAATGGATATGTATCATTAACAAGTGTAATCTTGTTCTTTAATTGTGCAATCATTAAAGAGGCATGTCCTCTGGGTCTACTTACATTATAATTAAGATTAGGGTGGTAAGCTTGAAGGGGGAAAAAAACATGTGCTCGCCTGAGAGCGAGCATGTGAAAAGCTCGCTGCTTCACTCGGGTGTTACGGATTACACAGAGTAGCACTATGAGGGTGAGATGGATTAAGAATGTGGAAATCGAGATGCTAGAAAACAGAGCAGGATTCATTTGCTGCTCTGTGAGACCCATTCAGTTGTGGTGGGCTCCAGCCACTGAAGGTCATGAAGTTTCATCAATAAGAGTAGAAGATAAGTACAGTAGGTACAGTAGTGGTAGATATTCTGTTGCTGGAGGACTTTATGTAACCTGATTTGCAACATAAAATCAATCTGTGAAATAAATGGACTGACCTTGAAACAAAGCGTTTTCAAGGCAAAGAGATGCTGGAGAGTAGTTTCTCACAGTGTGGGGAGATATTGATAAGAATGTATTGCGCAATAGAGCTTCACACATCATGACTCATACACACAAACAGAGCTCAAACACCCCACAGCCTACCTTGACCAGCGAACGATAGCCATTAGCAGGTATGTGTGGGTCAAAGTCAAAATGATGGTAAACTGAAGCGAAGCCAGAGATGACCGGCTCCAGACTGCGAGCGTGCTCCTGGATCAAGTTCATTGTATCCACCAGCCGCCGCGCCGCGTCACCCTGTGTTCCTTTGGCTCCTCCTGAGAAGAAAGTGGCATTTTCTTCGCACACGCTGTACAGGGCCGCAAACACTGCCTTGGTGTCCATCACTAGGAGCAGCGAGGGAGCAAAGAAGGTGAAACGGAAAAACACATTAGCTTTATATGAGTGGGATGCATTTACAAAATACGTTGATTCATATGATTATGTATTCCATTAGAGAAACACTTTTCACCAGGGCAAATGATAGCTGAGAGGGGCATGTATGCCCAAAACTGCTGCTCATCTTGGTCCTAATTACACCGCCCTTCTCACCCTGAGTGTATGCATTTGTCAAATCAAAGACACTGTATCATGCTGCACTTTATAGAACTGGATTGTCAAAATGGTATCCCGTTCTGCAGACAATGAAAGGAGCAGTCTGATTTCTATTCAGCATCACACCCGTAACTGTAATCAGCATGTAGACATTGTAGCGGGCAGGATATCAATGGATATGGCCAACACAATGTTCTCTTACTCCTATTAACTAATCCCCCATAGCCTGGCATATGAAAGCTCACTGGCTGAAACGTGTTAAGCAAGCCTTGAAATTAAATGATGTAAATCCAAGCTAAGCAGCAAGAATCCACAGACATCTAGGCAGACATGCATGGAACACGAGGAGAAAGGCAGGGCCCTTTGCTGACGTCATGCTGCTGGGAACAAACGCAGATTAGTCATGCACTGAAAAAAACATATTCACACTCACGTAAGAGTCCCAAAGGGAGGTATACAACTGACAACACACAACTGAGTGGGTTTATCGAGTGTGCTCATATCTTTGCCCTAACATAGCATAACAAGGATCCAGCACCATGACCCTGCTGGATTCCCACTGGTGGACCGAGCTCATCTGTCGAGTCACCTGAGACCTCATTTTCCACAACACCTCCCTCTGGGAGACTAGCTGGTACTAAATGTACAGGGTTACTGGCACAGTGAGACACAGAGGGAAGAGCAGAAGGGACAACAGACACACAGAGAATAACACAAAGTGACAGAGAACAACAGTGCCTTCCAACTAGACTTTTTTAACCTTAGTGAAGGAAACCACACAGTTGACTGTTGGTTCCTCTCTGACCCAAACAGCATCTTGTGTGTGGAACTCTGTCCAGTGGCTTTTGTGTAATCCTGCCTGGAATAAACAAACAGGCAGAGAGACAACATAACCTCTCGGCTGAAATAAACCTCTCTTAAGAATTACATTTATATATATTGAAGTTTTGCTATAATTATTATTTTATGGCACGACCAATTGAAAATGACACTTAAAGAAAGTCTCTGCTGTAATGTGATAAAAAGCTAAAATGACATCAGCCATCCTTGCAATTAGCTCACATCCATCCTCAAACTTTTGTTTTTAAAACTTCAGCGCAGACTACAGCAACAAGGGAGTATTGGGGGGGGGGGGATGGGAAGGGAAGCAAGGCAATTATTTTATACATCCCTAAAGCAACATCTCAGGATGTGGTGCTGATGTTGCCCAAGCATACTGCAAAGAGAACAGATTCTTCCCAAGTGAAATATTGTTTTGAGGGTTAAAGAAATAATGGAGCCCTAATCGCACAATTATTCTGCTACAGCCTGCCATTCAGGAAGAGTAATAGGAGAAGCAATTTCAGTTTGCTGGGAGGAATCACAACCCCCGACATCTGAGAGGAGACATTTATCAGCCAGATGACTTCTAGCAAACATACGTACACGCACGCACACACACACACATTTGCACTTATACCATCCTGTGGACTCTCATACACATAATGCATTAATTAGCCCCTTATTCTTAACTTAACCATCACAACTGATTACCTGAACCGAACCTCTGCCCAAACCTAATGTAACACAAAACCTAAAACCAATAGTTAACCCTCATACAGACCTTTAAAGTTGGGAGGTCTGAGCAAAATGTCTTCAATAATATCTATGCCTTAAACCGGTCCTCGCAAAGATAGAAGTACACACGCACACACACATAGAAAGAGTGAGGGAGAAAATAAAAAATGTCTTCAGTCATTGCTCATTTACTAATTTTTCTGTCTTGTTATCCGCTCTCAGTCCTTCTCTATCAGGCACAATTTTCCATTTAGAAAGCTAGTTTGTCTCAATTTAAAAACTTAGCTGAAAATGTTACAAAAGTTTCCTGCAGAATAAACTCCACACTGTTCCTTTGGCACTACTCCTGCCTTAGATTACGCAATCAAACAATTCTGAACACAACTAGAGATGGTCTGATACTGATACAAGCATCGGTAAAGCATCATATACTACTGAAAATGCCAGGACAGGCATCAGTGAGTTTAAATTATATTAGTTTCACATATCACTTATTTTCCAAATACAATAATTTCTGTGTTTATTTTTTGTTAGACTTATCTCCACACACTGAAACTATTGTGTGTATGAAATTTGTGGTTGAGATAGCCTATTGAATTTAGGGGGCATTCCTATTTAGGGGGAAGACAGACTGAAAAACATCTGTGGAGCTAATTGAGCACACTACATAAAGCAGCAATACATAGTGTGGCGAGCCGCCGCTGTCTAATTTGTCCTGTCACAGTTACATTATGGGCCAAAATGTTTGACACTTGAGAATCTATTTCTTCATTACAAGTCAGTGTCTATCCAAATGCTGTGAAGTTCATGCAGCAGCTTAAGGCAAAATTTCACATCAGTTGAACCATGTGAAAGGAATACACTATCAGATAAGAACGTCCCATGACTTCAAGAAAAAGTCAAACATGTTTACATTAAACTCTTCAAATTGTATTGAGGTTATAATCTATAGATGTAGGCACTCTATCTCACATACCTGAGAGCATGGAGGCGTGAATATGGGATCTCTGGTGATATTATTTGAGTTTGGTTCATGGGAAAACAGCGGTCTTTTCCATATTGATCATCCATGCAAAAAGCTTTAGAATGTGTCTATAAATGACATCTCTACAGTTCCAAACAAAAATCAAGCTGTGCAGGGTTGTGAAAAATAATGTTTGTGAATTTGATTGGATGGTTAGCAAGGTGTCTACAGCAATAAACAAGTTCACTTTAAGACTTTTTAATACCACTTGATATACAATTTATTAGTAAACCAGCCAATTTGAATTAAGAAAGTTTGATAATTTTAAAAGTAAAATGTAATAACAAATACAAATACAGCTATCTTTAAACTACACACACAGCATGTATAATAAGCTTTGTGGATTTCATTAAAAAGATCTAAGAGCATTCACAATGACAATAAGTTAAGATCTGACATAAATTCCACCATAGTGACTAGCTCTGTCAATTTAAGATCCTTCTATAGACTACTCCAGATAGAAGGGGCATCATATTTAAAATCTTTTCTTGCATGGTTTGATTTGAATCTGGGGACCGACATGTGTAGAATATTAGGTTTAACAGAGTCTTAAGGAAGGCAGAGGTGAAGGATCAGGGAGAAAGAAGAAATCATACTGAACAACGCAGAAAACATAAGGCACTGAAAATAATTTCATCTAATGACAAAACACAAACAATGCTGGGATTGTTGCCACATCTCGGACCTTGTCCAAGAACACACATCATGTAAATGTTCTGAACTGGACAACACATTAGGCATTTATTTATTGTTGACGCATTACATCAGCATAAAACTGGAAACACCACAGGACACACACAAAGAAAATCTTATATTCAACTGTTTGCATAACCACTCTCACAGCAGTGTGGCCTCTGGGTCCACAGTGGTCAAGCAGTTACACAAATGCCCTGCTGCAAGAGCAGCTATAGCAGTCAAATCAGATTGGGCGAGCCGCCAGAATTAAAATTACATTGCTTAATTAGAGCAGGGGGAACAACTCTATGAGCTCAGCAAGCCAATAGGAGTTATGTTGACAGAGTAAGCTAGGTGCGAACTTTATGAACTCACAGATCAGCGTAAACTTGTCTAAAACTAGTTTAATGACAATGAAGCAATAACACATTACACATTCTAACTGCAGGGAGCAAATCATATGCAAATATAATGCTAATGAACACCATTGTGCGAGCCGTCCTCTGAGTTTAAACATGCAAGACTTCACCACTGTTTGACGTGAGAAAACAGATCAGCCTCAAACAGAGAAACATTAAAGCCGCCACTGCATCTAAAGCAGAATATGTTAATGAACCACTATGGGATTCACTGAAAGCAAAATGTAAGCCACATACTTATTTATCACCCACGCCTTTTGTGCATTAGCAAGTGTTGTTCATATTCCCAGGCAAATTACATACATATAATTTAAGGTAGGCCAGGGCATCTCTGTAGAACTGCAATATGACATTTTTTTTATTATGTTATGTTTTGACGCTTTTTACTTTTACAAAACAATTGCAGCTCCTCCAATTTGGATATTGAATTTGGCCATATAGTGATGTCAATAAAATTTTGATTTATGTTCATCCCTATTAATCACTAACTTAATAGGAGGGTGGCAAACTTTTGAACATACCTCTTTTTTTCTTTAAATTATTTTCACTGTTTGAGTTTATAAAATAAAAAAAGTCTTTGCCTGTTTGCAAGTTTGAATTGCTTTTAAATTTTCATTTAAAAAGATGAATGAAATATGTTTTTTGCCTCATTGTACATTTGTGTACAACTGTAACAAGCTTCAGCATCATCCATTCTGCCTTACAGGAAAAAGTGGTAACTGTAAGCCGACTGCAACCATTAAGCTGCACCTGGTCTCTCCACATTAAAGATGGATGAGAGGGAGTATTAATAAGTCATGTACAACAACCAACACCAGCGACAGTACACACATAACGACTCCTACGGGGCCCACAAACTGGGTGAATTAAGTGTTTGTATCAAACTACCTTCAGGCTGCTTCTGGCATATAGCATGCAATTGATGGCATACAGAGTAACTACTAAAAAGCTAGAAGATGAAAAAAAAGAAAAAGTGTTTACCAGCTTCTGAGTTCAAGTCTCTGTCCTTGTCTGTCTCCTCTCTTCCACGAAAACAATGAGAGCATGGAGAAAAAGAGACAGAATGAGAGAAAGGGAGGGAGGGATGACAGCGATAATGCTTTCCAATTGGTTTTGTTCTGCCCCTCGCTGTCCGTACGATGTAGATCTTCCCCTCTGTATGTCAGCCTCTGTATGTCAGCCTCTGTATGTCAGCCTTGTCATCACCGATTCTACTCAGAGATGTAATGTGTCTATCCTCTCCCTCTCATCCCTCCCGTGCCTCTTTTAAAAGAGCTGTGCGGCAATGGACAACCTGAGCCGGGTTGACTTTCTCCCTGTGACCATGTACTATTTTGCTATTGGCTGTTCAGCTGCAACTCCCTGTGACTTTCGCCCTAATGGGAAGATTACAGCAGAGACATAAACATGACATAATGAGATGATAACAGGGTCACCATCGTAGGGGTTTTCCCTTTCACCGCTTAAATCTATATATTTAATTTTCACTGAAAATAGCAGTAGAGTCATTATCCATCATTATCATTGTAATTATCAATCAGTTTAATGATGAAAAGTTAATAAAATTAAGAAACCAATAATAGATTATCCTCAAATACTGCTTAATTCAACAAATAATTTTAGACAACCAATTGTCACAATCAACTGATCAGTAATTACTATGATAACATGAATCGATCCAGTCCTGACCCTGTAACTACAGCTGCTTTCAGACAAGCACTGGACTCCACAGATCTTCCATATTTGTGAACACAAATGTCAAACTGAGAGGCTCCTGAGTTTCTGCGGACTTTATCCCCCTTGCCCCCCAAGTATAAAGTCCATTGATATTCCGGGGAAATCTATGTGTGAACACAGCAGGGGCTCCTCTGCTGGATTCATCGTGAGCGAGTGGGGGGGTTACGCTTATAACACGAGACATACACAAAAATGAGAGTTTGTGGTGATAAGAGATTACGATGGTGTCGGGGTGCTGTAAACATGATCTTGTCGGCAATATGTCACTTCCTTCCTCTGCGGCACCCGGCTGCTCCACCTCTCACCTGAATGAGGCAGAGGATTTGATGCTGTTGTGAATGCATCCCTGCAGAGAACCTCCTGCTACGTTGTGCCTGTGTGAAAGGTAAACTCTGTGTAAACTCCGTAGACAATTCTCTGGACTTTACCCCCAGGTCATGTCTGAAAACATCTTAAGTAGTGCCTGTGTTGGACTTTTTATTGTTTAATTGAATTCATGCAAAACCTCCTTTTGTTTGTTTATGCAGCAGAAATGTACCATGTGTGCCAACTCTTGAGAAATATCAATTTTTGACAATGATTGCAGAACATGGACAACATGTTCACACCCTAAATATAGAACAAAATATGCTCTTGGTTCAGACTTCTTGGCTGATATCACAGATAGCCCCATTACTCCAGGGACAACAGTATTCACAAAAGTACAGAGTAAGTTACAGACACATAACTAGGAGACACAAAGAGTAACACCACTATGGCCCTGATTAGATGTTGGGTCGTTTCTTTGGTTTAGTTTTGGTGTAGTTATTAACAAACCAAAAATGTTTTATTATACAACATGTTGCTATTTTCAGAAAGTTTGGTCTTTGGTTTGGATGCCACCTCAAGTCATCATGGCTCAGCCACAACTCAAAAACCAAAGACCAAACTTTCTTGAGGTATAGATGACATTATTAACTAACTGGTGAATCTTCATCAGCCCATATCTTCCTTAATTAGGATCCAAGCCACATAAAAATTGGGCTGCATAGGTTTCTCATATGACCAAACTAGCACACCTAACCCTAAGTGTGATGACTTGATACAGAGTGGCCCGGCAGCTTTTATTCCATGAAAGATATCTTGACAAGTCACAACAGGAAAGGCACAGGATCGCTGTCTCACTGTCATATTGATCAGAACTGCAACCAAACATAACATTATTAGTAACACCTCTGCTTTTCCTGCAATGACAAATCACTATAACATCGGAATGATTAACTGTGCTATTTTCAATGACAAACAATGGCTTGTTTTTTGGTTTTTTTTAATCAAGTCCACACCCATTCTGAGAAAGTCAGTGTTGATCTAAGACTACAGACTTGAAAACACACTGGCTGTCACACCTTGAAGTTGAATGCACCATCCCAGCACCACACAACTATCTGCAATATGCATCTGCAATTTTAAAGTATCAACATTCATCATATGCTTGAACCTGTTTCAAGGCAAAATTCCATCAATTGATCTTTCACATGTTTTTCTTTTACAAGATATGGTTTCTGTTCTTTGCCAGATATCTGACACTCTACAAACACCATGTCCATAGGAAGCAGGCTTTAATAGCAAATAGTGAGCAGTGAGAAGTGCACAAGAGAGAGGAAGTGGCAGCAGCAGGGGCTCTGTCATGTTGTGCTTTGACCCTTCTCCCAGTCTGAGCACAACAAGGCCAACCTGAACAACAGGAAACTAGCAACAATGAGCCACTGCTCTCATCACCAGGACACATATGGCTTCCCTTCAGTTTAAAAATGCCACATGTTTAATGGAAAAGAAATCTAAAGTCTTGGTTCTTGGATCTGACTCTTACTGAGCATATTAGGGACCTCACACAACCATTTGGATTATATAAAATATATGCCAATCTCATTATACAGGCCTAAGGCTATTGTAAACACACCATTCACAAATGGGATGCTAAAAATGTTTTAATTAGTGCAGCAAACACACAATGTATGGTATGTTCTTAGTGTTCTGCAGAGCAAGAGGAAGCCTTTTGAAAGTAGTGGTGCTTGGGGACTGGTTGGATTGTTCCAGATTACAGTGTGACAGCGGCCTAGTTTACAGGAGAATAGAGCCACAGAGGGAGTTCTTTTAGTCTCGACAGCAGATCCACACGGTGCCTGCAGGCAGCGTCCTGCTGGGTCTGATACCTTCTTTTACAAAGTGCCCATTCGTCATAACCAGCATTAAAGAGTTGTACATATGTGCATAGGCAACAGGATTTGGTTGGTTCTTCAGGACATCTCTTATCCAAACGTCTTTTTTTAGATCTAACCTATATTAGATTGTGTGTATTTAACCTCATGTATAACTCCTGAAGATACCTTGACCTGGGTGAGAGTCTTCTCCGATATCTCAGCCTGCTCGGCTTAACACTGTCAAACATTGACACAGACCTACAGACAGACTCATTTCAGCAACAGCAATCACTTTTACACACATTTATCTTTTTTCATATAATCACCACTGGTGCTCTCACCTCTCACATGTGCACTAAATCAGCTCAAATTGTCTTGTGTCTTTATCTTATATGTTGTTAGTTATCATACTTATATGTACTTTAATTAGTACAGTTTATACTCTGATTGTTGTCTGTTATGTGAGTGCACCTGTGGAATACTGTTGTACTCTGTAATCTCCATACTGAGTATGTAGAGTTACTATCTATCACCAAGAGGACGGGAAATCGGAATCTATCGATATAGAAAAGCAGGAATCAATCAACCTATCTATCTCTCTATCTATCTATTGGAAGATAAAGGCACAATATGAATCTATCAATCTATCAACCCACACATCTATATCGAGATATAATCAATTTACCTATATAATGGCACCTTCCCCCAACAAAAAAAGAAACTACAAAACACACACACACTTTCTATAGTTGTGAGGACACTCATTGGCACAATGCATACTCTAGTCCCTGACCCTAAAGCACCCTTTGACTTTGTGAGGACCAGTCAAAATGTCCTCTCAGTGGTTTTGAACCTAAATTGGCCTCATAACTATAGTAACACACACACACACACACACACACACACACACACACACACACACACACACACACACACACAGGTTGATCTAGCTGCACCCCCCCCCACTCTCGTACCTGTTCAGGTGGCTCCTGTCACTGTCAGCAGCTGAGAGCAGAGACACGGGGCGGGACAAGTCAACACCAGAAATAATAACGTGTGTGTGTGACAGACTACATCACTCTACAGCTACACAAAACGGGACACACACACACACACACACACACACACACACACACACACATACATACATACACACATACATACATACATACATAACTACACACACTGGAGCTGTGAGCGGCGGAAGCTCGTCACTGCCGGGGGGGTCGACTTCTTTCGGGTCCATTCTCGGTTCATCGTCGCTCTGAACCCTGACAACCATGTGACCCAGCGGCTGACACGCACCCAGCGGCTCAAATCCAGCCGCTCCACTTCGGCTACAGATGCTAACGTAGCTGCTAACGGTTCGTGTTGAGATGGGGGTGGGGTGAGGTTGGGTGGTGGGGGGAGGTTAGCTTCAAAATGGAGACGTTTAAAGCGACAGAGGGACAACACGAGTCACACTCACCCACTGGACCCTCTCTGTGTTTGGACGAGCGTCTTCCATTCACTCCCTTCTCCAGCCTGCTCCCGCCGCCCTTCTTGTTCGACGCCATCTTCGCCCAGTGCTCCGGACAGAGGAGCTCGCGCCGCCTCTCAACTTCCCACCGACATACCTGCCTGGGAGCGCTCAGGCCCCGCCCCGCGCCGGACACCGCAGCCAATGAGGGGCTGCGTCGCGGACCGGCAGCCAATGAGCGACGCTCGAAACGTCAGCGAGCGCCCGCCCTTGTTGCCCGTGGTTCCAGCTTGAGTCCAGTCAGCTGATCGACTTCTCATGAGTTCTCATGAGTTCTCGTGGTTGAACTGGAGCTTCTCGGCTCTTTGGGTTTTCACTGGCAAGAAAACATGTAAATCGACGACGGTGTGATGTGTGTGTGATGTGTGTGTGAGTGTGTGATGTGTGTGTGACGTGTGTGTGATGTGTGTGTGAGTGTGTGATGTGTGTGTGATGTGTGTGTGGAGTGTGTGATGTGTGTGTGATGTGTGTGTGAGTGATGTGTGTGTGATGTGTGTGTGAGCCTGTCCTCTCAGGTGTGGAGATGATTCGTTGTCGCAGCTCCTCTGTGGCTCCATGCTGCTTCATTTATAATATGTGATTTGTGCCAAACCTTTGCACGTGCCAGTTCTGTCATTTTCTCTTTGTTTCTTTTCAGTTGTTTTGAGTGAAAGAACAAAGATGAAAACAAGAAAAAAGATTTCCTTTTATTTGTGTATTTGACACAGTTTTATTGTTTGAGCACTCTCAGCGATGGCAAAAGGCAAATGAACTGTGAGACACAATGAAGGCATGCGTAAAATGTATGGAATAAGCTACACACAAAACAATATTTATATTTATTACAATATTTCATCGATTGCGACACAAGAAAAGTCCACTGGAGATGGATATATTGTTTATACGTTATGCGAAAACTTGAGGTTTGACACAAAATTGATCTGCTTCAGATTTGTAAAAATGTTTTGCTGTTGTCAGGTGTTTGTCTTTCTAAGATCTTAAAACTCACAAGAAATAATAACATATAATAATTGTTATAATTATCGATATCGACTGACATAAAAACTTTTATCTGGATCAATATTGGCCATATCGCTCAACACTAATTATCTGTATGTTATTTTCATGTATACTGTAACTAAAGACTTTAGTGTGTCTACATGTCTGTAGGTTTCTAACTGTATCCTTGTACACTGTGCGATGCCAAATAAGGCGTTGAATTAAATGAAGATAGACTTTATATAAAGTCTAGTATTTCTTTAATGAACTTGATAAAGCTGTTGTGATGAAACTGTCGCTCTTAAAACTTTAAGTACTTTTGGTACATCTTGGTTTTACAGTTGAGTAATAACCTAATTCCCTGAGGCAGACCATGTGCCACATGAAAAGCTCAGATTAGCAACATTTATTTCTGAGGTCAAAAGCTGATTAAATAATATGTTGTTTAAAGTTTAGCTGCAGGCTATATGTTTAAAAAAGCTCTGAAAATAGATTCCACACTTTTTTTCTTCCTTCCCCTCCTCTGTCTCTCCCTTTTCTTCCCTCAGGGTTTCTCCAGCTGGATCTCCTCCTCTTCCTCCATAAAGTTGCACACGTCCTGGTATGGGCCGTGTGCCTGGGACCGCTCGATCTGATCGTATGTGGAGCAACAGTCTTCCAGATTGAGCCCCTGGTGTGTGAGATAATGAAAATCAAGTAAACACAGAAAAACAAAACAATGAAACCTACTCATATTAATAAGATGAGATAAATTGTGGCTTCAAATCTTTGGTTCTATTTGTAGTTGAATTACTTATTTACTGGTATTTCTCGCAGCTGCCAGAACATGACTCAGAGAGGATGTGAAACATTTAAAAGTTCACCTGATATATGTTTTCCTCTTCCCTCATCGCTTTCTTCTTCTCTAGTTTATGTAAGTTATTTGACTGTGGAGAGGGGGTAGAAACAGAAGTTGGTAAATCTGTGTAATGGTGCAACGTCCGAGAGAGGAAAGGCAGGAAACAAATATAAGAAATATCAGTTTGAGAAAAGTCTTCTGTGGGAGCGGTCAGAGTAGAGCTGTGTCACTGATTGTCATCACTTCTGGTGTCATGAGTGATAAGAGAACACCACGATAGGGAAATGTTGGAACTTTTATGACGTCACGTGTGCCACAGGTCGGGATGTAGCTGACACATGGCATCATTTTGAAATGTGATCTTCTGACCTTGAAGAGAAGGCTGGCCGACGGCAACAGCACACACAGGAACAGCAAGATTCCCTCAGCTATCAGGATCTTGTTTTTGCTGCTTTCGCTGATATTCAGTGTCTTCTTCAGTGGTTCTGGGGATAAAGGCAGGGTATAGAAGTCAAACATGTGAGCAACAGTTGTGTCTGTAGGTTTTCTATTAATTATAATATAACATAATATGATAAAATAAATACTAGAATGTAGAATGTAGAGCATTGGACACCCAAACTCCCTCTATTTAACCATGATATGTCATAAGATACAGATTTTTATTTGGATCCACACCTAATTGCACACACTCATAAATGTCAGTCCCCTAAACATATTTTATTCATCAAGAGCCATAAAATATTCCCTGAGAAATCAATGAAGATGTTGGAAAACTTTCTGTCTCATAATGTTAAAGAAATTGAAAAATAAAACTCCTGAATCCGCCCACTGATCCAGATCCACACCAATATGTAATTGGTTCTTAACTTGTGTCATGACCCAACCCTCCATAAAACTTCATGGAAGTCAGTTATGTAATTATTGCGAAATCCTGCTAAATGACAAACAAAGATGAAACGTAACCCTTCTTGGTGGAGGAAATATAAGAAGAACATAAAAAACTAAATAAATTCTAAACAGACTTGGAGGTTTATTACAAGACTGATTGTTGTTCTTATATAATTGTACTATTTAGTATAAAGTATATAAACCAGATAAATTAACAGTTAATAGTTTTGTTGGGCTAATGGTGGAGCTGTGAACTAATGCAGATTATTTCACACATAATCCTTTCGACACATTTCCACCTCTGCCGTCTGTGTTTAATGAGATTACAATGTGAAGTGTCTGTGATGAATGTCTCTGCACATTAGCCTGATCGCAACTTGATCTAATCTTGGTGCAATTTGAAATAAATGACCAGGCAGCAGGATATGGAAGCCTGCAGCCATATCATACACTTCATTAATTTAGAGATATGGTTTATTTGGTGTTAGCAGTGATAAGGGCTCACTTGACTCCATGTTTCCTATTTGTGTAAAATAAGACCCCTCCCATCACTCACTGTAGACAATCAGGTAGGTGCCACGAGAGAAGACCTTGACCTGACTGTTGCTCAGCAAACACTGGTACAGGCCGGTGTCACTCAGCCGGACTGATTTAAGGGTTAGGGTGCTACAGCGCATCCCATCTTTAGTCGTGTCCCATGCAGTCACATTGTCTGAAAGACCCACATCTTGTGGGCCTCTGTTTTTATTGGCACCTTGAAAACTTTTGACCCAGTAGGATTTCAGTGACTTCTCAGGGGCGGCATAGCAGCACTCCAGGTCAGCTTTGCTAGAGAGGGGCACACTCTGGAAGGGGTTGTCCGCATTTAGAGTGACCTGACTCTGAGTTATACCCACTGTGGAGGAAAGTAGTCATCATGTGAATCTGACCCAAAATGTATTTGTACGTTACAGCGCAACCTGTTTTTCTTTGTTTACAATCGACACATAAAGTCTCTAATGTTGAATAACACACATAGGTGAAAAGTATAATAAAGCAAAATGAATTGAAAAACAAAAACAGAACATGATAGCAGCCATCTGCTCTGGCTGGAGATGAGGTTCATTGGAGCAGAACTCAAATAAGCAAAATGTAAAAAACATTAAGTTATTTAGAACATATATACTTAAAGAAATGACTGAGTGTAGAAATGTCCATTTTTCCCCAAAACATAATTGCATCTATTAAAATATTAACACTTTCACCCAAATACAGTACATTTAGATATTTTAGTGTCATAATAAAATTAATCAAACTTACCTGCAAAGCTGCAGAGAACAACGATTGCTGCAATCCCCATTTTATTTAACAAATATTTAATCTGAGAATACAAATTTAACCAAGGTAAAAAATGTTCAGACAATGTTCATGTCACTGTGGCTGTTATGAGACTCTGGTGTCCTGCTGTTTTTGACTCAGTCAGGATTTACACATGAATGAATTTGGACCGTCTCACATTTACATAAAAGTTATATTTGTGTCTAAAAAAATAGAGGAAGTACACACATTTTTGTTCATTCATGTACACACATTAATTAAAATCAAACAATTCTTGATCATCCAGTCATCTCAGGACTTTATAAGATGAAAACTGACTCATAACTACATAAAAATACAGAACAGGTTTTTATTTCCCCAATTTATTTAAAAACATTAAGAATTAAAAAAAAGCAAACGTACCACAATTTTCCTTAAGTATACATCATTAAAGAGCCTCTTGCACAATAAAAATCAAAACCCAAATACACAGTATAGTTCTTGCATATTCTTTGTATATAGATAGGCGAGCGGGCAGATGCCTGCATGACAGGAAGCAGTGTCTTTTCTGTACAAGGCAACACTGGAGGGCTCAAATCTCATCGCTCTTATTGAGATGGACACAAACACAGCGTGTTGTGTAGGCCGAGCTCCAAACCCTGCAACCTACCAATCAGAATCCTGGGATGATCCCTCAATGCTAATTGGTCATTCATCGTCAAGACAGTTCACCAGAGCGACAGTGAGTTTATGGATTCGAGAGCCCTCGAGAACAGTTTGATGGTCAGAACAAGGCACCACTCTATAAATACATTTTCTATACATTTAGGTATTTGTATATAGAATACGTGAGGAAATCATCTGGAGGAGAGAGAGCGAGAAGTGCCTGTAGTAGTCGTTCGACCGGTGAAGAGCTAAGGCTTTCCACCTGCCGACTGCTGCAGTTTAACGGTTCAGAAAACATCCCTGGTTGAGATCATCTCTTTACATGTGTCCCACTCATAACTGAAGGCCATGGTTACAACATTTGCATCATAGTTGAATTTGCTCATGTACAGTCGCGTTACAGACAGATCCTGTCTCTCTCACCATTACAGCCAAATGCATAGTACATATAATTACAACAGCTGCTTTGAAAAACAATGGAAACAAAAAAAACCAGTAACAAAAACCTCCCCGACCCGTTTAAGTACATCAAATGAAATACACATCGTATGGAAAAACTGTGCGGCAGCAACAGGTGACCATGCTATCAAAACAGGTGAGCGTGTTATCAAGAGGTGTATGTCGCTAATAAGCTTAATAAACACAATGAGGAGGAGGAGAGAGGGAGGGAGGGGGAGTATCTAATTTATACTTTCTCTACATTTTTCTCCTTCAAAACATAATTTATATACAATCTCTAAGAGGAAGGCACAGGGACAGATGGCAGTAATGTTCAAACCCAAACTTGTGATGCTCAGGTGACCAATGGCACCAGCATCTGCACAATTTCATACTGAGGTCACACAGGAGGATTTGTTGCTGTGGCAACAACGAGGCTGCGATTCAGGATGTTATCACAGTACTGGAAAGAAAAGACGATGTTGGAATAAAACATATCGTCCTCCTTCCTCAAAACTCTCAACGTTTCCTTTGTCTTCATCTGGCTTCACTGTCTCGTCTTTCTGCTCAAGTCCCATGTGTTCAATTTAGCACCAGAGGTGTCGACGGGGTTTTCGTATACAGGACAGAAACAGAACAAAGCTGGTGACAGTTACACACTGACAGACACACACACACAGACACTGAAGTGAAGAAATTCACTGAAGCAAGAATTCAGGGATCTACAGATTCAGTCTGGGTTTGGTCATGAAGCGAGAGCAACATTTATCATTATTCTCAAACAAACATTAAAGAACGGAAAACCAGTTGTTGTTTGTTTAAACAGACGACAAATCCTTTGTTCATCTTTGTGCTTTTGAAATCCCGTCACCTCAGTTGCCACCTGCTGAAGTTCGGGGAGAAGAAAAGCAGCTACAGCTCCACCGCTCCTGCGTCAGCATGGAGTGACATGCTAATATACAGATCAAACATGTCATTAAGAAGATTACAGCTTGTGTGAGGCTCAACGGTGCTTTGTCACGTCTTTGGTCCTGTGTGCATGGCCAATGTTCTGCCACTGCTTAGAAATTATATCATCATGATCATATTTACAATCATCTGGTGGATAAAATTCAAAGACTGAGCTCAATTTGGATACAAATATTGTTACCAGGGAAGAATGTTGTTGTTTTTTACGAATAACATGTAATTTTTATGTTATGTTATAAAATGTTTAACCACATCTGGAGTTTTGATGCAACAGAAATGGTGTAGAACGACCTTTGTCAACACTTGGCTCTCCGTGTCCGTAGGTTTATGTGCGCGTGTGTGTGTGTGTGGACTTGTGTGTCAGCATTTTCCTTCAGTACAGTAAGTGCAAATCCTAATCTCATGTTTTCTACACGTCTTCTCCTGACCGTCTAAACTGGTTTCAAATAAACCAAAGCAACAACCACCTCTGAAATCTTCTTCTCTCTCCACCTCGATCTTTGTTACACATTCTCAGTTTGCTTTCCTATGTTTCGTTTCGTCTCTGACACATTGCTACGTCTTTTTAGCCCAGTGCTGTAACAGCTTTACCTGGGCAAGGCGACTCACTGACCTACCAGGACTCAGAAGAATAAATAAAAAAAAAAAAGCGATACATACATAGAAACAACTCCTCATTATTAACAGCATGATTACCGATAATGACACTATTTATAAATGTTTGTTTGTGACCTAATTACAGTAAGAACCCTCCAGAAATAGCACTTCCTTAATTAAAAGACTCTAACACACATACACACACGTCCTAGCATGCCTGAGGGCCCCAAATATGAAGCCGAACTGCAAAAAACAATGTGTCAAATTGATTTGATCAGAGGAAAAAGTGCATCTTTGTGGTACTTTGGCATAGACTAGAAATAACACTATATATCAGCAGTAGTATTTCAATACATCTTCAAACGCTACATTGGCCCATGAGGCTTCCAACTTGGTGCAGCTAAATTGGCAAGGAAACATCTCAATTACCTTACATCTGCTTTTGGCATCAGTGTGAATTGTTTTGGAGCGTGCATGTCTTTGGTGTGCGTATGTGTGTTACAGCAAAATGTGATCTCAACATTTTGTTCGGGAGCGTCTCTCTCTCTCTCTCTCTGCACAGTATTGCTTCTGTTTTGGCACCCCTCTGCAAATGCAGCTACCCACTCAAAAGTAGGATGTCCTGTTTTTTTTTTCTCTTTGTTTACCTCTCTACCAAGCATGCACGCAAACACAAAGACACACATACACATGCACACACCTCCCATGGTCTGCCATTGAACCACTGCACAGAACACAGAGCACGAAGCCCCAACCCCCCCACCCCCTCTCTTCAGGCAGCAAACATCCTGCTCAGCTGTAAACAGCTGCGACACAAACAAATAAGGCAGCGTGGGTCCAGGCATGACTTATGAAAGTTTTGGAATTTCCAGGGAAGCCTTTGAAAGTCACTCTTGCACTCCAAACCAGCACCAGTAAAAATCTAGAGAGAAGAAAAGACGAGGGAAAAGATGAACTGTGATGCAATTACATGTAAAGCTAAAAAAGAGTGACAATGACAAGGCTTTAATTTCCACAGGGATTGTGGAGGCATGTCCTCCTCACATCTCAAAATCTGATTTTCCTATTCTTTTCTTTCCCTTTTTGATTTTGATTTGATTTATTCACTAAAATCTCTCCAAGCAGTCTCATCAGAGGGAGTTAGGAGGAGAGAAGAGTTGATAAAAAGGTTGATTTGTTCATGTAGGCGACCTACAATCGTTACCATGAGCTCAAAGCAATTAAGCTTTATCAGTAGCAAGTGAGTTCCAAGACTTTTCTGGCTGTGCTTTGCCTCCCAAGATACATTCAAGCTGCCTTATCTTATTTATGGAGGTTGTTTGGGCCAAATGCAGCCTGATAGGAAGTCTGCCGATAATACTTAGTGCTAAAAAAACCTCCTTCCAACTCCTGTGCAATCTTTTAGGTAAACAATGTATTTAAAATAACTGTTAAATCCAGATTATATCTCAAAAAGATGCAAAAAGTCTCTTAAGTAAATGAAACCTGATTTTGGAAAATGGTTGATTGTGTTTCTATGTTTTAGTTAAAATAAATTATATTTGTTATATTTGTTTATTTCATCATTTATCTTATTTTATTGTTATTTATTTCTCTGCTTAGTTTGTGTAAATGTGTTCAGATTTTATTTAACTTTATTTGCTGATTTGTGTCAAGCATAATAATCAAATTTAGAGATTATTGACCAGTGTCATCGTAATTTTGTTTTGCTACACTGATTCAAGAAAATAGCTTCAAATTAAATAATCATTTATTATTTTGTTGAAAAAACATCTTGTGTCTTCGCACTTCTAAAATGAATCCTACGCACTTGAGAGTGAAATACTGAAATCACAAGCCTCAAATTCAACAGCTGTTGAGGGGTCTCACCTAGTGACCAGCAGGTGGCGTGATGGTGTCTCACTAGAAGTTACCTCCCTCCAGTGAGAACTTGGAAAGAGCCTCCTGCAAGCGGTGGTGCTCCTCCTCTACAGTCTGTAACACACAAAATCAATATCATCAAGGACTCAGACGCGCGCAGACACACACACATACATACACACGCGCACAATCCTCTTAACATCCTCTCTTTGTCGACCTTGCTGTCTCTGTGACACATCCCATTGCAAGCGCTGGACATAATAGCCATTTCAGAGAAGTCCAATTTCACAATGCAATTTTCGCCCAAGCAATAACAGCAGTGGTTAAATGGTTTTCTACTCCCTAGTTTCTCTTTGCTGCCATTTTGGCCCCATTTGTCTCGAGTATATCACAGCTTGCTCCTTACTCAAGTTATCTTCAGTGAAATCCTCCATCACCAACTCTGTCTTTTTGCAGCTTCCATCTTTTGTTATGCATCTTATCTTTATCTGCCCCTGTCGTACCTCTATATTCTCTCCCTCTGTTCAACTCCGCTCACCTGTAATCTCTTTATATGTTCCTCCAGACTGTGGAGCCTCCTGCACACTTCCTCCATCCTCTCCTGGGACAACACCAGCGGCGCGCTTATGCTCCTCTCGTCCTCTCCTTTCGTCTCCGCATTTTCTTTTTCATGATTCTCACCGTTCTCTTCTGCTCCTCTCTCTGTTGTCTGGTTTTCTTCTGTGGACAGAAACACTTGATTAAAATGTATCTGGCATCTGTCTCAGTTACAGTAAATTCTGAGCAAGACGAGTAATATTCAGACCTTGCAGATTCTTGATTTGTAAAGCTTTCTTGTCACAAGTTAACTCGATCGATTTAAATCAAGATTGATGAATTTGTCTGAACAGCCATTTTAGAAATAGGTCTTAAAATCCTACATAAAGATTAAACAAGAAGAAAATGGATTCTGTTGTTACACTAATTAATTGACCTGGGGTTTTCCAATCATGAAGCAGTGGAGCAATCATAAAGACAATCAAAACTATTTGGACTTCAAGGCCGAGAAGTTACACAGCTGAAGGTGCTGCCAAAGAAAAACATGACTTTTAAAGGAAGAGTTCAACATTTTGGGAAATTTCTCTGTGTTTGAACGTTGTTGAAAATATTTTGGATAATGTAAGTTCCAATTTAACAAAATGTGACAGATCTACTTGTGTTAATTTTGAAGTATTGTCACATAATATATCTTTAAGAGGTCGAGCATGAGAGCATGTCGATCTTCTCATCGATCTCTCAGCAACAAAGCAAACAACACAATGTCAAACGTTCCTTTAAAAGCACAGTGGCCCACCTGTTGATTGACAGCTATCCACTTCTGGACTGGGTGAAGGCTCCTCTCCATTTTCTTCATCAGACTGCGAGTCCTCTGACAGACTGATGCTGCCGACCAGTAGCCTTTTCAGCGACATGACTAACAGATGAGACAGATGCAGTGGTGTCATTAGGACAGATAAGCTAAATGGAACGAATGAAAAGATAAGAGTTATAAAAAGATAATATTGTATAAGTGTGAGGAAGACTCTCATTCACCTTCATCCAAAGCACTGTTGGCAACCCTCTCCTGGTCGCTGTTGGAGTGGCCTATCACGTCAAAGCCTTGTGACAGGAAATCAATCAGCCTGTGCCTGGGGTCTGAGGACTTGTCATCCGTCAGGCTGTCCTTATCTCGATCTGCAGACAGACACGAGGCTTAACTTTGCCGACAGCTATCAGAAATGTGTTAGAATAACAAATTTGTGCTGTTTATTAAGTGTTCAGCTGATAAAGCTCTACGGTCTCACCACTGCTGCTTTTCAAACCTCCATTCTCCGTCGGGCTCAGAGGGGCAGTCAGCCTGACCGAGAGAAAATGAGAAAAGAAATGAGATATTCTGAGATGGGGGAACTTTGGCGGCCGATGAAAAATTCTTGCGAGACGAGTAAATACGCGGGCACGCACGCACGCACACGCACGCACACACACAGACACACACACACACACACACAAAGATACATACGCGGAAGGAGATCCTCCAGGAGGCTGATTCAACCTCATGGGCTTTTTCAGATCATCCACTGTTGACTTTATCACTTCAGTCCAGCTAAAAAAAAACACACAAATAAAATGGATTCTGTGATTTCCCGGCAGAAACAAGTGATTAGTGTGTGTGTGTTTCTCTCTTTCACACTCACGTTCTCCTCTCTCCGACAGACTGAGCCACCAGTTCGTAGATCTGAGCACCGCTGTCCCAGGTAAATATCACATAGAAGGCCTTTCGATCTGTCAGAACAAAACGAGGCTGACTTACACTGATCCCACAAAGGAAGTGACCTGTGTATTATTTACTGCTGTGTGCCGCTAACCTGTGGCCACCTCACGGAGAAAGACTGAGTCGAGCTTGATGATGGGGCTCAGCATCTGCTTGCCCTCCTGCACAGCGATGTTGCTCTTGCTCTGGCATTTGAGGACCATCTTGTCGTCCTGCCTCTGGAGGAGCACCAGCAGGTCGCCGAGCAGCACACACTGCACATCTGAGAGACGCAGATGAAAAAAGAGCCAGGCAGTGGAAAGAGAAAGACGACAGACGACAGGAAGGAAAAGATGTGAAAAGAGTGAGATAGACAGGTTCGCTGGTATTGATTTTTTCAAGTCCTTATAGATATTTTATCTTCTGGCTTCATTACTCTCTCTCTCTTTATATATATATATTTTTTTATTAGAATTTATATTTATGACTTATTTATTACAAATTTCAAATGTAATTTATAGTTTACGCGTAGTCTTACATTCTTTCTTACATTCTCCCTGATCTGTTTATCTGAGCTTCGAGCTGCTGCATTTAATTGTCCGTCCAAGGAAAAATAAAATTGTATTGAATTGCAAATTATTCTCTTTTCCAGTTTTTATAATAATTTTCTTAAAATCCCAAAGGTAAACCCTTTTTGAAACAGATAGCGTTTCTTATTTTATATATATATATATATATTACTTCATTTAATATTAAAGTAGGCTTGACATAATACATTTTTAAGGCTGTGAAATGTTTGTTGTCTTTGTTTCTGCAGTATTGCCGACAAAGCATAGCAGGAATAATACCATGCTGTTGGCATACAAGTATTACAGACACACGCATGCACTTAAATATGTATTTACCAATTCCTTTCTCTTTTGTGACTTTCCAGGTCAGAGGACCCTCATAAAGCATCTTCTTCTGAGTCAGGTCAATGTTCTAGAGACGACAGAGGAGCTCAATGAAACAAACCCAACCAAACTGTAATATAAAAACTAAACTTTTGCTGAAAGACCCACACCTTATATTCTGTGTAAAGCTCGTTACTTGGTTTGAGCCCTGACGTATCCAATCTGCGCTGATAGTCCTTCAGAGTCTGAGAACAGAGACAAAGATGAGGGGTCAGAAAGAGGACGGACAGCACAGCTCTGAAGGAGAAGTTGTCTTAACAACCAGAGACCTTCAGGCCTCAAAATGAATTTACTGGACTCCAATTGGTGCTCAATCACTGCCTAACAGTGTGTTGAGTGATGGATTGTGTGTTTCTCACCAATAGGTTCTCCATCACTTTGACCTCCTCATTGACATGGTTGAGGATCTTTCTGCAGCACTCTGCGCTCTGCTGGATCCTCTCCTTCTCCATCAGGTCCTCTGTGGAGAGACAGAAAACAGAGTTGAGGAAAACACAGGCGTTCACGGCAGAGCCCAAACAAAAGCAATAAATCACGACTGTACACGAGAATCTGGGACAGGCAGGAATCGATTGTTCAAATGTTCTGCTTGTGAGTTCACGTAAGTGCTGCAAATACTGTTCACATTTATCCTGCGTTGTGATTTAGACTGGCATATAGGATTTAAAAGAATGATCATCAAAATATTTTGTATTTTGTCCTACGAATATGTCGTGTACTCTTCAGAAGGACCCTCAACAGAGAGGCTGTCTTTTTGACACAGACTTAGAAGAAATATGAGATTTTCACATTCAGTGTTTGGAAATTAGATTATACATACATGTGTGTGCCATAAAGTCATGAAAAGATTAGATATTTTTCAATGCTTTTTACAATTTAAAATCTGCGGACATATGATACAGCTTCAAATAATTAAACATTGTTGAGAAAGACTGGTTTAAGGTAGTGTCATTTAAATTGCTGAAATAACAGAAACATTATACCTTTCCCAAAAAGAACCTATGGTTTATATCATGATATAAAATATGTGATGAGGGGATTTTGTCAATTGTCCATCACTTCACACATTTTAATGATTAGCATAATTAAGTCACTTGTCGACACTGACTTAAGACACACACAGACACACAGACACACACACACACCTGTGTTCTTGGCAATATTCTCGAGCAGTAATGGGTACTTGGTCAGTCGCTGCATCTCTATAGGAATGATGTCCTTGAGTTGCAGCCTGCGGCACTGAGGCTTACTCTCTGCATCCTGGGATTAAAAGACACACACACACAGACAGTCAGAATGAGAACGTGTCTCACTCACTTCCTCCATGTTCCTGCATCCATGTGTTTTAAGTGTTTATAAATTAACATCTGAGTCAGTCAGTGTGTGTGTTACCTGTATGAAGGAGTTGAAGCGCGCCTCTTTTTTCTGCCTGCTCTTAATCTGGTCCAAGGCCCACGACTGGTGACTGCAGAACCGAGCTGTCAATTTCTGGAACCACTCCCCTTCTGTACCACCAAACTGGCACATTCACAAACACATACACACAAAACACTACAGTCAGTCACCGTATTGTGCCAGAAGTAAAGAATGAGCAGAATAGAGATGTAGAAAAGAATGAGATTAAACACTGACAACTAACATAATTGTATCGCTGTTACAGCCAATAATTTACTTACATAGAAAAATAGCTTCTAGTATTTGGCACAATTACTGTCAAATCAAGTTGTGAATTAAACTGTCAGCACAGATCACTTGGAGTCTTCCCAAAAACTAACACAAACACAGAGACAGAAGAGTAAAGACGACATAAACAGACAGATTATGATGACTCACCCTGTTGAGCACTGTGGTGCTGATGGATTTGACTATGAAGTTGTCGTCCAAACGCAGTTTTTTCAGGTTCTCATAGAAGTTATCTGGATTCACAGCCAAAGATGAGACAAACAAATACACAATTAAATCATAAAATACAGCAACAACAACAACTCATATATAGGGTCTATTACTGAAACACTGAGCTCTCTCTGTGGCCAGTGACTTGTCAATAATGTAATGAATATATATAATTTTCTGACGGATTCTTCACTGAACCCAGTTACAGTGTGTTCAAACAAGACTGGTATAAGCATTTATCTTTATCGCAGCAGCCTGTACACATTTCAAGGGTTTGCTTGTGTGGAGTGTGAGCGCAACCTTCATGTGTCTGACTCTGGGAGGAAACATAACACTAGTCAGAATAGAAAGGGCCTCTTTGCAGAGCCACTCACAGTGCATATCAATGATCTCGTCCAAGTTGGGGAAGATGGCAGCCAGCTCAGTGGAGGTCAGGATCTCCTCTTTCTCCAGAGGCTTCGAGAAAACCATCTGAAGAACGCTTAGCATTCGCACATGGGCGTGCTCCGTCGCAAACAACTCTGAGAGTGGGGAGAGAGGGAGGAGGTACAGAATGAGCAATGTTATAAAGATCCTCATTTTGCTGCCTCATCTCTCCCCTCCTCACCGTTGATGACCTCCTGCCTCTTGGTCTCCTTCTTACTGAGGCTGGACAGACCTTCGGAGGAAGCCAGGTCCCTCCAGTTGGGTGGGTCATGCTCAAATTCCAGGAGGCGCGGCTCTATCTCCTCGAGCTGCGGGGAGGGGCTGGTCGGGGAGTGGCCGGGGCCTTCAGGAACTAAAAGTGGTCCCTCCAAACTGAAGAAAGAAGGAAGCGAAATAATAATTATTTTAGATTGGTAATTACAACTTTAGCCAGTATTGATCCAGGTGGAGAACACTGGCTGTACTTCTAAATGTACCCTAGAGATGTCTTAAAGCAACACTATGTCATTTTTTACTGATCAACAGCGCCCTCTGCAGCCACATGTGGTGATTAAGTGGTTTTCAGTAAAGAATACCTGATGATCGAAGCTCTGACTGTGAACTACCACTCACTGAACTGAATCAAAACTGTGGATATTACCAATGATCCCTGTAACAAAAACACTGTATAGAATTCTTGATATTTTGAGTTTCCTCTATAAATATGAAAGATGAACGCTGGTTTTTAATGACTTAACTGATCTACAGTTCAGTAGTACTCGAGCTTGCTGGGCTTGATTGTGGGGATTTAAGCTGTGATTATTCTTGCAGGAGATCATACCCACGTACCTAGAGCAGGAACAGACATTCAGGGTGAGGACCGAGAATGCAAGAGGCTCCATTCTCATGTCAGTGTATATGTCAAACTAATTTAGAAGAGGCTATTTTCAGGTAAAAATGTTCCATAGTGTTGCTTTAACATTGGAAATTCTACTAATATCATGGACTTGTATGGACTTATTTTGTAGCTTAGAACCTTATATACTGGTTGCTATTAATCTTCTAGCAACTGAAAGCTTACAAGGACAAATAACAAGCAATGATTAAGGTTCAATTGAAGTGAAACTTGTGCTAAACTAGGATTGAATTGAAAAGTAGAAAAGGCAATTAACATTAAACCTCACGATAGAACTGAAAAAATAAAAAGAGATCAAAGTAATTAAAGATCTGAATGAACTGAAGATTACTCTGAATCCTTTACTGTTTAAAATATGTTTCCCTTGAAGTCTTGAAATTTACAGTGAACTAACAGTCAGTAAAACCTGGTAATAGGCTGCACTTTGTGTTTACCAACATTCCCCCAAAGAGGCAAGTCTCTGACCCCGCACTGAGAATGAGAGTGTTGTTTGACTATTACTCACACCCTGTCGGTCACAGCAGCCGATAGTGAGTTAGTGAATCTGTCGGCCAGATTAATTCATTTCACAGGAGACAACAGACGTGTTCCCTTGAGAAATAACTAATCCACATTAACTGATAATATTCTCATCCAGTCATTTTGTATTGAATGCTTTTAGGTTATTTCAGGATTGAGATGGCTTTCATGTTTTGGCATCCTGTCTGTCCCTGTTGTGCACCTCTCCAGCCAAAGGCTTTAAGAGGGGCAGTTTGTCCATCTTACGGATGGAGGTGCTGGGGAGAGAACGAAGTAGGTGTTGTTGTGGAGAAGGGCGGCTGGAGGTCCACATCACTACGGGAACGGGACTGTTTGGCCCGGGAAGAGCCACGGCGACGAGATGAGTGCCGGTCCACACGAGCACTTTCGCTACGAGTCACTTTCCTACTGAAGGGAGGGAAGGTGGGAGAGGATGGTGGGGGGGTGGACGAGAAAACGATAGGGACAGAATGGAGGGACGGAGGAATTGAGATAGAAAACGAAGGAGGGGAAAAAGTCCAAAAAAATGTACAGACGGATTCGAAAAAAGAAAAAGGGGACAAAGACGAAATAGGAAAATGAGTATAGAAGGAATATTAATCACGAGGGTGAAGAAGAGGAAAAATAAGTTAAGGTACATTAGTAGAGGATTTAACCCCCAAAAGGGTAGAAAGAAAAATCACATGAACAAAAGATAAAAAGAGACATGAGTGGCAGGCAAAATATGCATGGAATCTGACATGCATATATTAGTTAGACAGTGAAACATATAGAGCATGATACAGAGTATGCTTCATATGCTGTAGATATGGTAGCTACTTGAATACCAACATTCCTGAGGAGTTAACTGGGAGCCAGTCTACAACAGTATGTTAAGAAAGTAGCCCTGTATTGATTCTACGCTGCATTCTGCATGGAACCATAAGGAACTTGAATATTTAATCAAAAATCAAAAATCTCAATCTCAACACAACATGCATCCACATCCACTAGAAAAATAGTACAACTAAACTCAACACATCAACTTCTAATTCCTTAACAAGCGTGTTAAAATACTTAGCCATGCAGTGGGTTTGTGTCATGTATGTATATCCATGTGTAGTCTGTATACAGATGATGGAGTGTGTGTGTGTGTGTGTGTGTGTGTGTGTGTGTGTGTGTCAGTCTAAGGCCTGAAGCATGTCCATGACCTTGTCAAGGCGCTGACACCCACCTTGTCTTCCGTCTGCAAAAACATGGGGACACCACATAGTTACACACCCACCTTTACGCAACTATTGTAAAGCCAGAGAAACAACCACAACAATGCAAATGCACCCCCCCCCACCTGATATTCTAAAACACTGTCTGAGTAAATATGATGCCAAAGCACCTGACACAACATGTAACCGCACACACACTGTGGAGACAAGCGGGACAAAGGACGGGCCCTGGCCAAAACAGATGCAGACACCTTGAAAAGCACACGGGACGAAGAACAAACACTATCTATATGTAATGGAATAAACTATTAATGAACTAAATAACTGAATTAGTCAAACAGATACAACTTCTACTAATTTTCAATATTTTAAAAGCACTAGACAAAATGTTTGTCATCTATAGTCAGTGCTGTATATAACCGCAACATCTCCAAATGCCTCTGCTTCCAAGAAATCACCAGTGTGTTCCCACAATCCCATACAAAACACACAAGAATTGCACAGATAACATCTAAATGCAACAGACACTGAAACGAAGCTCTGTAGTCAACATAAGGAGATGCACAACAGGACACATAAAAGAAGACAAGTTGGACAGAATGGTATTAGGAGAAGAGTGCATGTGCCTTTGTGAGGGAGAAAGAGGGGAAAGGGCATGAGGGAGAGGGAAGGCAAAGGGCTGGAGGGGAAGACCGGCTCCGAGTTCTCCTGGTGAGAGTCCTCCTCAAAACTGCAGGCTCTGTTAGCTAGCGAGCAACGGGCAGCAAGACAAAAGCACAAGGCAGGGACAGACCGCTGGGGAAGCTTTACCATGCTCCCTCAGCCTGAGCACTTCACACACGTTAAGCTTCCCTCTATTCCCCCTCAGTTGTTGGCTCTGTACACTGAACACCTCCCATTCAATCTAATAATGATCTGATTACAACCTCTAATCCTGTAATTGCTTATAATCTCTTATTGAGTCACTGCACTGTGATTATAATATGACACACTAGATGCTGCTCTCTTTATTACCATCCTCCTCACCTGTCTTTCTCCACATTCTCCTCTGTGGGAGTGTCGCAGGGGGAGACAGGCTCCCCAATTGTCAACGCACTCCCGAGTCCGATGGGGGACAGCTCCGACCCCGTAGGGGGACACATCCCAGTAAGAGGCTCTAAGCGATTGCTTGAGGGGCCTGAAGGATTAGAAAAGAATAAAGGAGAACAGATGAGGGGTTATGTACTGCAATTATATGGTGCTTTCATCCAGTAAATTAGCAATTATACAGTATATCTCTTCAACAATAACGTATTGATTAAGTTAATCTATTTTTAAAAGATATTTACACGAGGGGGGGATAATTTATATCATTTTACACAAGAAAATAATTAACCTTCTCATTGCAAATGCTTATACCACATTTTTAGTTTGCAGGTTATAAACAAATACATTTTGAACAAGCAGCCATTATCCACGTCTCCTGCTTTTACATTTACACTTTGTATATTGTTCATTAATCACTTTATTTTTCATTTCAATTGAATTGAAAGACTATTCTTTCATTTTAATACAGACACTTTCATTTATTAAATGTCATTTTAAACACAAAATTAAACAAAGTTCAACTCACAGCAAAGTAGCATGAACTCAAAATATAACAGTCAGTTTAGCAATAAAAGTATAAAATAATTCATCACTGATGATGATACAGAAACACTCCAGTTACACACTCCACAGTAAAGTCAACGAGCAGACTTGCCATCACTGTGTGAAGACTCTGGGGTGTTGGTGATGCTAACGTTGTTGCCTGAGCTGTCACAGACTTCGATCCCAGGTACAGACGCAGTGTTTCCACTAGAACCCGACTTCCTGCTGGGGAGGGAAAGGACTGCAGGTTCAGTCACGGAGCCTCTGCCAGGAGCTGGACCCTTGCGCTCCTGATTCGCTTTATCCTTTTCCGCTGAAGAAGATGAAGAATACGAAATTTAGAAGAACAACAGACAATGCAGATGCAGAAAAAAAAACAATTCAGTATGTGCAAAAACAGAGATTGTGTGAGACGGACAAACAGACGAGATGAGTATGATGCAATCAGGGCCTCTGCAGTAAACATGAGGGTTAGTTTGGTACAAGGGAACAATCACAACCACATTAATTTAATGTGCAATGAGTGGGATTTACTGCTGATTCTAAACTGCAATTAATTCTTCAAAGAACCACCATGAAACTTAGAATCAACTTAACAGTGCCCCACCCACATCCCCTCCCAGTTTGAGTTGGGACATGCAGACATGCTTATGGGTTGATTAGTAAGGATGGGACCATTCTACAGGTGAAAGAGAAGGTGGGAACTCTGGGCGATTTGTACCTTCAGCCTCCATTTTAGGTTTGACCTCAGCTGTAACAGGAAAAGAGTGCAGGACACAATGTTCTCATATCCAGATCTTTATAGACATCAATATGTAAAGATACTTCACAATAATACATTATTACAAATATTTGGGGAATAGCTTACATGCATTTTGAGATCGTAATTCATTTTAAAAATTGGTCAGAAATGAAAACTAGATGGGAAAATGGGGCTAATGTGTGAAGCAAATACATACTGTTGCCTGCAATCCAGCTGGGGATGCCAGGAAACCCCCCCCTCGGCTTGCCCTTTGTGGACTCATCCTTCTTATTCTGCAAAATAACACAGTAAGAAGCGAATGAGACAGAAGGTCAAATTAAAAAGACGTGTATGGGCTGCAAAACTACAACTACTACTCCAAAAACATTTAATGAGGGCATAGTGCAAAGCGTTAATTGACCTGTCTGATCACTGTTTTATTCATTAATTTGCTTAAACAAACAGGAAGGGGGTGTTTACCTTGACCAGCTGTCTCCTGAAGAAGCCTCCTCTGGACTTCTTACTGTCGACGGCTCTGGTTTTAACCCCGAGGTGCTTCATGTAGAAGGCGACCGCTGAGAAGATGGATTGGCTGCAGCAGAAGTTAGAGTAATGTGTTCATTAACGATATCTGATAGTGTTTGTTGTGCTAGTAGCTATTTGTTTAGCATGGTCTTTCAGGAATACGTCAATGCTTACACATTCCTGGTGATGCTAAAGCAAAATGAATCTTTTTTTCATGTTCAGTAGAGTGTTGTATTCTCTAATGTCACAGGTGCTGATGCTGAGACAAAGTGAATATGTGAGGATAAAAAGGAGGATGGACAGATGCAGGGAAGGAGGGGTTAAGGGAGGAGGATCATTGAAGATGTCCAGAAAGAAAGGAGGAGTTTGAAAATTGGGGTGGGGGGGGGGACTATGACACAAAAATGATAAAGGCGGAGTTGAGGAGAAAAATGAGAAGTTAGGAGGAGCCTCTGGGGATGTGTATTGCAACAGAAGTCTCTTATCACCAGTCACTGCACAGTTACACAAAGCACGGTGTCTGAATACACTAAAAATTCAACTGAAAGAAGTTGAAACAAAGAACTCTTGAGAGAAAAGCATAAAAAAACCCAAGGCATACGTGACAGCGTTTCATAATTCATGTGCAAAGAATAAATCAAGAAATAGAAAACTTCAGAATGCATCTCAGTCACTTTAAGAGATACTGCTCTGGAATGTAGTGGCATTTTTTTTAAAAGGTGCAAAAGCAAATCATTTCAGACACTATCCATACATATAACTGAAAGAAATGTTATGGTGATGGTTTGATGCACTGAAGACAGTATGCAAAAAAAATGTTGTGGTCTGACCACACCCAAGCTAAGAGAAAGCATGCAGAGACCAAATGAGCTAATGTGCACACACCCGTTTAAAAAGAACACTAATGCAAATATTGTAAACTTCATGAAAAATACTGCACTCACCATTTTTCCTCGTCCGAGACGATTGTTGGTCTGAAAGAGAAGAGACAGATGTGAGTGATGTTGCTCCTGCAGACATTTTAAAGCAGCAGCGTTATCGTGCAGCATCAAGCTCACCTCTTCCTCTTAAGTAGCATGTTTCCTTTCTCTTGCTCGACTGATTGTTAGCTGTGTTTTGGGCCGGTGGAATCTGTAGCGGCTAAGCCTTTTCTGATCCAACTCAAAGCTGACTGTAATGTTGTTGTGTTCAGAGCAGATGCTATTGAACATATTCTACAAAAAAGTGCAAAAAAGAATAAAAACAAAAAAAGAAAAGATCAAAAAAGTGTGAGATGCATGAAAAGCTGCACCTCTGCTCCCTCTTTAAAATAGAAAAAAAACTTGCACTTTTGAAGATTTGCAAATAATTCAAACTATAGTCTCCAGACTGTCTAAAGGGGCGATCTGCTCTGGCTGCTCTGGTACATTGTCTGCAAAGGGAATCCAAAAATGCTCCAACGCGGCGGATGTGTCTATTTAACCATGTTTTTGTCTGATGCAACATGCAGGCAAGACTGTAGAAATTGGATACTCATGTTTTGTTATGAACATAAAGGGTGGGAGGGGTTTTCCCAAGGATTTCCCAGCATTATCCAATCAAATGGTGCGATGGCCTTGTTCTCATCTGCAGAGAGACCAATGAGGGACAGACAGGGGCGAGGTCACTGTGTTGTGGTCTAGTAAGAAAGGGGGTGCTTTGGGGGTGACCGAGTGCAAGAGTGTGGGAGTATGTTAGAGAGGGGAATAGAGAGATGATTGTCAGGGTGAATGAATGGAGCGAACTGAATGGAACGTTTGTGCAACGGTGATAAAGATCTTTCTGTGTGATAGTCAAAAAGAGTCAAAAGCTGAATTATAGTGTCTTTAATAAAGTCGGCCTTGTGGACTTTTTGTGTCTTTTACAACTGACAGCCTGATTATCTCCAGAGGACGAGTGTTGCTTGAGCAAAACGCACCTCCTTTCGTTTCTGTTCACTTTTTTCCCCTCTTCTGACAAGATGAAGTTAGACAGTGTTGTGCCCTCTCCCTGGCCTCCTCTCCCTCTCTGTCTCACTCGCTTCTTGTTGAGGATAACACATTGCAGTTGGCCACAGGGTCAAGGATAGATTAACTTTCCCCTAGATCTCTCGCTTTCTTTCTTTAACCGTGTCCAGGGCAGGAACTACCCAGCCTCGATAACCCTCTGGCCCTTTCTCTCCCCTTCTCTCTTCCGATGTGTCTCCCCTCCACCCTTCCCTCCTCCCGCTGGTTGGCAGAATGTCAGGGGAGAGCCTTCCTGCCAGCGTGGCACTACTGACTCCATCTTTTCCTTTCAGCCTCTTCATTTCCTTCGTGCTCCATTCTGCTCTCTTCCAATCATTCTGGCTCTGTAGTCCACTGAGCTTGATTTTCTCCATCTCCTGCTGTATTTGTCTCCGTGTGTTATACATTGGTTATGTGCATGGCTGATATTGACTGTGCCGACCGTGGAGCCTTGTAGGAAACCAAGTGCCAACTTTAGAGGGAAGAGATCAGATTTTAAACTAATTTGACAAACCAGTCATGGTCCAATTTAAAACATACATCAGCAGGTTTGGGGAAAAGACTATTTTCAGTGTGCAATCACTGTTTAAAAGTTAAATACTTTTAATAATGTTGTCATGACAGCTGTGTTGTTGTTTTCTTGTGTGTGAAAATTGCATTTTATTAAATTTTGCATTCACAGATTTTAGGAAACGCAAAGAGGAATGTACAAATCAGATTTCTAGCTCCTCTTGTTCCAAAGCTCTAAAATCTTTCTTGTAGAAAAGGAATAAATGTTGCTTAATTTTGAGGGAGTCTTGGATTTCTTCATTATGTCAAACAAGTTTTAACTCTATCAACTTCATGTCTAGGAATTTTATTCCTGTTGGTTAGATTATACTTCAAAGTCTATACCAGGGAGCGTCAGTTGCTATGGTTTTCAGTTCCAGGCACAGACACCAATCAGGCACATAACATTTAACATTCTGTGAAAACACTGAGAAAACGTCAAAACTTAAATTCTACTGATTTATGCTGCTGTTTGGAATATTGCATTTTCCCAAACATAAAATGTCTCCTCTTTTAGCAGTGTATGTGATTTTTAAGCTAGTTACCTGTTTTTTGTACCAATTATTAAACACAGTGTTCATCTAAACTCCTTAACATGAACTCTTTCTGATACTGTTGTGAAAAGTAGAGACGAACACTCACTGTGTCTCAGACATCTTGTCCAGCAGGTTCTCGGCCACAGACTTCTCCTTCATCTCCATCGGGACGCGGTCGGTGGGATAGTGGCTCTCCACATCGATCAGCTCTGCCTCGTTGGGGGTCATACCCATCATCCTCTTCTGCCTGTGCAGCACAAAGCAGAAAGAGGCAAAAGTTGGACACGGTAATGAAAAATAATATCTATCCAGCATCCAATCAAGTGAGCAGACACATGTGCTGCAGGCTGCCACAGCTAAAACATAGGTATTCCTAACAGTTGTTTAAATCTTTCTCTCTATTCAGATTTCCTGTAAACTACAATTACAAGGCTGATTTTAACACTGTGGTGTTAATGTTAAGTCAGACTGCTTGCTAGCTGACTCACACATTTTAACATTAACACTCAAAAACAATCACAATGAAGAGCATGGAAGATAACTACAACTTCTTTAGGTTCACATACAGTAGACACAGCAGTGAGTATATTACACTTTAATGCATCCCAAAGCAGACGGCTGTCAGCATTGCATGAGACAGAATTTGTGGATCCACAAAATAAATATTTGGGGCATAATAAAGATGATGCTACACTGGCCGAGTAGAGTTCAGGAGCTTCCCACCTGAAGTCTTCCAGCTGTTTGGCCACTTCAGCCGCCTGTGCGCTCTGAACCTCCTGAGCATAGCGTTTTTGGATGTCCTCGGAGAACAGATCTGGACGAGTCCGGTCTGAGAAGAAGCAAACAGGGAGTAAGTGGGAAGACTGATACCGGCAGGGAGACACTTAGTTGAGTTGTGCACATATGGCAGAGAATATATAACACATTTTTAACAGCTTTAAATAAATATACAACAGAAAAATAACTTACCCAACTCATAGGATATATGATGGGGGACTGACACTCTAAGAATCTGTAATGTAGAGTAGATACAGAATTAGGAACATTATATATATTTATAGAAACTATTAGGCATGAAGTTTTTCATAACTTGTTTTGCTATGTGTGTATTTTTTCTTTGTTTTGTGCAGAATGAAGAAATAGATCAGTGTTGTCTCAGCTAATAAGGGGCCATGGAAATGGATGCAGTAGCTAAATATCTCCACAAGGGGTCATTTGAACACTAGAAATAAATTTTAAGAGAAAAAAAATAACAGAAAAAACAGATATTCCAAATGGGAGATGCAGAGTTCTGTCACTGACATGAAAATAACCACATGGGCCGACTTTAAGTCAATGGGTTTACAAAAGAGACGGTCTTTAAAAAAAAAAGACAGAGGCCAAGTGAGGATGATTCCTCCTGAAGGGCTTTCCCACGATCCTGACAGGAAGCTGTGGGGTCGGACCGAGACAGACAGGGAGAGAGAGCTGCACAAGCCGGCTGACAGACGTGCACAAGCTCTGATGAGGACATATAACAAAAATGGCCAGGTGTGCAACGGGCAGGGATGAAAAAAGGCAGACTCTGTAACGTTCTGCACAAACACAGACCATGTGCACACAGTGTACTCGTCTCCCCCAAGTCCAACTTCTAAACTGATTAGATCTGATTCCTAAGGATACAACAACGTAAGAGAAAAGTATAATATCAATATCACCAAGGCTGCTATATTTAGATTTTTTATATGGTGCATATCAAAAAAGAGTCAGCTAAATTAAATGTAATGTAATATCACCAAAATAGTAAGATCAATTCTCTCCAAAGCTGAAACATGACATAAAAATTTAATTGCATCTCAATAAGTTACGGCGCTACTTAAAAGAAAAGTGGTTATCAAACATGACCTCCTCCTTGAGTGCTTAGATAAAACAAACTTGATAAGGAGCATGAGAATAGACTTCAAGTGTCTCTCTAACATCCCTCCCTCTCTGCCCTCTCTCTATTGTTTCACACACTCCAGACAAACATAACTATCTCTATTATATCTCATATTTAAAACACTAATCCAAGTCCCCAACTTTTTAGATGTTTTAGACAGTCTTACAGATAAAGCAGTGTAGTGTGATACTTACTGCACCCTTGTCCAAGAAGGTGTTGTAGAACTCCACAAATTGCTTCTTGGTCTCTTTGGCACTGAAGGTCTTGAAGAGTTCGGCATGGAGGTAACAGAGCTGAGAGAAGAGACACGGACAGAAATCCAGTGACTGCTGATGAATGAGGGAAGTGTGTTTCTCGTTTAGCCTACACACACTGAATTGAATGAAGTTGACAAAACTATAGGATGAGCTGTCAACAAAATTTTAGTTTATAAAAAAAACTATTCACCAGATGCATTTAAAAGTCAACATGCGGACATAAATAAAACCCTTACAAAACATACTGAAAATATATGATTCAATAATTGAATGTTGTTTTAGCCGTAACTTTTCTATGTGGGATCTAAAACTGAAAGCAGCAGACAGAACAAGCAGCCACTGACTTTAGTGTAACCCCTTCACTAAACACTGACGAGGGGATGGAAAAGGTGGTTAACGGAAAAGAAGGATCAGAGTGAAGGAGGGCGTCGACTCGTGGCTATGGGAGGTGTAACAGTACCTGGGGTAGGTCACCAAGTCTGCATGCGGAACAAAGGGGAAAGGACAGGCATGCTTTATATCAGCACTGATACACATGTATACACACACACGCACGCACACACACGAAGTGTACACTCTTGTCTAAACTCATAGGGAATATTAGTGTCATGTGTCCTTTACAAACTAAGCTGCAAGTCAGGATGAAACTAAACTCTAATGCAATCTAATGTAATGTTATCATGATTTGGCTTTAATAACTAATCAGGTGAATTACTGAAGTTAATCACTTCATATTCAGAGGTAAATTACCTGACTGGTCACGAGTAGATGTTTTGAGGACGCTGTGATTAGTCCCTGCACAGAAAACCTCCTGCAGTGTAATGAAACAACTTGCTCTAAAGTTAGCTGCTGTTTACACTGGGACTTCTCCAGAACCTGTCCGACTGCTTATCTCTCCCTAATGGCTTTTTGTTGACCAGCACAGCTGCGTATGGCGGGGATGACTAATATTATGAAAACAAGATGCAAGTTGTAATGAAGAAATACATTTTCCTTTAAAATGTTGAAAATTGTATTTTATTGGATAACATATCAATTAGCAAATCACAGCTATGAGTCACTGGAGTAGTAGCAGCACCTGTACTGTCCTTAACTGGCCACATTAAACAGTGTGGTCCTCTTTCTGTAGAGCTGCAACTGATTATTATATTTGATGAATCAATTAATCATTAGTATTTAATTTCATATTCCCACAACCTGAAGTCTAATATTGCCATATCGCTGAATTACAGGCAAATGCAGAGTAAACGTCATATTGAGAGTCCAGCCAACTTGACTGAACCGTAACGACGCTCTACTACACACACTCACACACAGATAAAAACACACAGGAGGTGTAATTCTCACCACGGGAGCAGGGTCAAACTGTAGAAACACATGTTGCATGAAGACCAGCAGGTGTGTCGGCCGATCCTTCAACTGCTCTACATGGTTAAAGTGTGTACACTGATCATCCCCCGCCTGAGAGAGGCAGACAGACAGAGGAGGAGACGGAGAGAGAAAATGGGGGACGTGGGGCAAAACAATGATAATGAGAGATGATAATAAAATGACATTCAGCTGCCGTGAGTCAGGTTTTAATTCACTCACTTCATTCAGATCATTCTCAAAATCCTCATCTTCAGCCCCGATGATGCTCATGGCTGGGTTAGAGCACTGAGCCCCAAACACACCCTGCCATGGAGGAGGAGAAAGAGAGAGAGAGAGAGAGAGAGAGAGAGAGAGAGAGAGAGAGAGAGAGAGAGAGAGAGAGAGAGAAAGAGAGAAAGAAAGAGAAATGGAGAGAGGGAGGAAGAAAACAGGACAATTAGCAAACATTATGTGCTTCACTTTGTACTGGCAGCCTATCTCTCTTTGACATCCTGAGCCCCTGCTGATTAAAGTTTGGACAAAGTGAACTTTCCAAGAGAAAAATAACTTCAAGCAGGGAAAGAGGGAAAATGTCCCAGCATTCAGTGTGGCCTCGTGGAGAGAGAGATGTTTCATATCGCTTATATCCCATTCATATGAGCCAACAGAGGCAAAGGGAATATAAAGCTTCGACTAAAAGTTAAAACTTGTCTTTTTTCATTGACAACTGACTTTTCTATGTTTTATTAAAAATTCTATTTTAACTGTGATTAGAGAATCCACTGGCAAAGCTTAACCTCTTTTCAATAAACCTGATTCTCTCTAAGAATAAATTATGAGGCTACTGGGACACTGATATTTAAGCAATTAGAAAAGATAGTTCATAATCATGTGAATGTCATTAGATGTCCTCTGTGTATTGCTGAAGTCCTCTTCCCTGAGGCCAGACTAAAACATTCAGTTCAGGTGTTGAATGATTTAATGAGTTACATGCTGTGGAAATTCTCTCTGAAGTTTGTCCAAACTTTCACTCTTGAAATTATTTGTCAGACAAGTGTTTGGTTCAGAGGAAAACTCTCCTCAAGCTGCCCCCCCGCCCCCCCAGGTCTAATGGATCTGAAATGAAAAAGGTTTTTGCCTTTGAAATCCATGAATGGGAAGAAAATGCATCGGAACGGGTGACCAACTCATCCCCACCCTTCACACCCCTCGCACCACTTCCTCTGCACGCAAACACACCCAAAAAACACAAACACATTGCCCCTGTAAGGAGTCCGCTGAAGGCCGCAGACCCAGAGCCGCCACCGGGGAACACCCAAACACACACATACCCAAGCACATACATCAAAAAAACCCAACAGCTAGACTGTACAACATTTACCATTGTCCACAACTGTGTGTGTGCAGAGGGCAAAGAGCCAATGAGGTGTGAGGTGACTGAAAGTACTGAGGAAAAACTGTCACTGTGGAAAAAAAGCCCTGACAAACAGTTATTAAAGAATCCTTGAGCTGTGTGCTCTTACTGTAGTTGTAGAGTCAAGGCAAAACACAACAAGTGAGGTGATTTCAGGCCCAGAAAAACAGGAACAACCTGTCTCAGAATATCTGCTCAGCTGAGAATATTTGATCTGATCGTACAGTTTACCTGATTTTAGTTCATTCTTATTCTATCCAGACATTTTCATCATATTTGAAACCAGTCTTGATTTATTTTGTATTGGACTGTTGTTGTCATCTCACATTTTACATATAGGCTGTAAAGCACTTTAAGAACACAGCTCTAGAAATAAAATATCGTTTACTTATATGACATGAGAATAATATATCAATCATCAGATATAATTAAGTTCAGATTGGATATGTAGACTTAATAATTGGTTAAGAATTGCTATTATATTTTAACAATCTGTAGATAAGACAATTAAAACATGTTTTTGTTAATTTTTGCAAGGTTACACAGCAAGCCCAATTATGGTGAATATGTGCGGTGTGTGTGCAGGCCACATATTCACATTCACAAATCAGTTGGTGGTTAGAGTTTATGACAAAATGTGACTAAAGTGACTGTGTCCACAACCACAATCGATTCACACACAAGCTGAGAACAGTGTGTGTGTGGTGTGTGGTGTGTGTGTGTGTGCGTGGTTGTGTGTGTGTGTGTGTGCGTACAGTGGTAAGCAGGAATGCTTTGAGGTCAAGGTAAGTTTTTGTACAGAGACCAGAGCTGTTAGTCAGAGAAAGGAGAGAGAGACAGAGAGAATGAGTTCATTCATGGATTCATGGTCATATCCAGTGGGCTGCAGGGTTGAGAAAGGCCAGTGATAGAGCAACATGCGTAGGAGGGGTTAGCTAAACAGAGAGACACAGCACTGTCAGGGCTGTGAACACACATCTGTATGGACACAAACACACAAACACTGCCACCCAACACTTTAACAAAGTGTCCAACACCACCAAGATCATGAAAAAGTTATTTTACCATGACAACCACAGCTATGACTGGCTACTGCTGCCAAAGCAAATATGGCTAAGTGCTGGTGGAAAGATAAAATGCTTTCACTGTTACAACTCAGGTTTTAATGATGTGAACCAGTCGTCCTGTACAACCCTGATCACTTGTATTCACTCATTACAGCAGTTGGTCTGTAGAAACTCATAGACTGTATGCAACAATATGATGTGACGGCTCCCCAAAAGTGTCTTGATTGTATAGGTCAGTATAGGTCATAAACTCAACTTCATGTTAGTGGATGGGACATGGACCAACCAAAAATAAAATGTTCTTATATATCTCCTGTTATTTTAGGTGGTTCTTCTCAGATTGATGTAGGTTCAGTTAAGTTTTCTCTGGTTTGTTATTTGATGCATTAAAAATGGGGAAAATTGTCATGAATGACAGTTGAGACTGACTCGTGATCGATCGAGTGCATGCATCAGCGGGACCTCGCTACCATTATTTATAGTTTGGCCTTTCAGATTATCCTGGACCACCAGCTGATCTCATTCAAAGTCTTGTTTTGTCCAACTTACAGCACAAAGTCCAAATTGTTCAATTTACTATGAGGCAACACCAAGGAAATCAGTGAGGAACCACATTTTAAGACCTGGAAGAAGCGAATAATTGGCATTTTGGATCAATTATTGCTTAGCTGTGAAATAGTGTTTTCTGAATAACTATGTCAACAGTGGAAGATTTCTCTCAGTTAGCTGACTTCAGTTGTGATGTGAAGCAGAACAAGCTTCTAAAACCTTGAGGAAAGCAGAGTCCTTTTCAAAACACTGCTGCTCCTCCTGCACCACGTCGCAGCCTCCTCGTTACAGGAGATGCTGAAGCCAATCCCCTGTTATTGTTATGACTCGGCTGATATTGGAGAAACTGTAACACACGTTCAGACTCTGAGATATAAATTGAAGCAGGCAGGGGGAAGCTAATTGCGGTACGGAGGCACAGAAGGTCAGCGCCATTCTGAAATTTAAAGAGCACAGGATTGTGGAGGGCGGCAGCAACAGTGGGAGCCTCCTCTGCCCAGGAGGAGCCGAGCGGTGCATTCCAGCATATGGCACGGTGCAGACAACAGATGGAGACAGTCTGTGAGTTTCAGCAGTAACCAGACTCTCTTCCTTTCACCTTAATTAGCGCATGATCGCTGGCTTAAGCTCCAAACTATCAGGGTCCATCCGGGCTGATTCAGACGTGGTTGAGGGGGGAAGAAAAGACCACAAGTATATAGTGTTTGAACAGAAAGTCGCATAAGTGCCGAGATCAGCTCCTGAGAGTAGGCAGCTGCCCCCCACCCACAACCCACCAACGCCCGTCCCACCAACACCGCACCCTCCCATCACATTCCAGGACTAACTAAGTGTCAGGTGGCATCAATCTGATGATAGCCATCAAGCGTACGTGCCTTTGTGTGTGTGTGGGTTAAGACTGAGCACGTAAGTGGGAGGGGGCCATTCCTATGTGATTGTGGGGAGCTGCCGGTGAACGTATGTGTGTAATGTGTGTGTGTGTGTGTGTGTGTGTGTGTGTGTATGTGTATGTGTGTGTTCTATGACAACTGGTCATTACAACAGCATTCCTCTTCATCCCTGACCAGGCCTGAGGTCTAATACTACGCAACTGAAAAAACCCAGACACCTGTTTCCTCATTCAAACGCAGTAGCAGCACAGTTTAGCATTTCATATTTCCACCAGGTTACACTCAGCAGCCTAATAACAACTTAGTAACTGTTACATCAGCTCCTGCGCAGAGCCCATGTCCTTTGTGAAACAGTTAAATCATTCTTTAGTATGTAGCTGTTGCAATGAAACCCCTCCGGCCAAGAAGAGACGAGGAGTCTGTGACCTCACCCCCAAGTGGGCATCTTCAGGGTCCATGCCACAATTGGAGGAGACTGCACGTGTCACTCAAGCTCCTGTAAAAATGATATGATGGTGACTGTTAGACGAGAACATGGTTAGTAAAGTGGTGCTGGATCAGGTGACCCAGGGCGTATTCATGCACGTGCTTCTCTGTGATAGACACCACAACATGTTCATCATCAACAGTGAGGAGTCCTCCAGCTTAATAGCTCACATCAAGAGATGTACTATCTCTAGGAAAAAGGGTTATTCTGTCGATACTGATGCACTTCTAGTATTACACCTGCACACATGTAAATCCCAGGAGAGTAAACAGTGACAAACAATATAAGATTTGACTCAGCAGTTTTCCAGACAACAAACAAGTCGACACGTGATCACATGGTCTGAGCTGCACTCACCTCTACTGCCAGGAGACCAGCTCAGAGTTAATACCAGAGTGACACAATCCTGGTCATTTAGATACAACGCAGTTTCAATTCCAAGGGAAATTTGGACTTCAATATTTCCTGAACATCTTGTTTTGTACAGGAGTTCTCTGTACAAGGTGACATCACTGTTGGGTGTGGTTACAGGTGCAACCGAGAACAGTTCAAATGTCAACTGTCAGCAATTGTTGGTTTGGTTGGAGGTGAAACAGGCCTAAAATAATTCACTCTTTCAATTTAAAATGTTTAAATGCATCTTGAGGGGAAATATTATTCTTAAATAATAATAAAAAAACATAGGCTACAATCTAAAAGATGCAATATATGTGCATATATGGCACAAGAAAATTAATAACAATAAATATTCCTCTATTTGTCCCACTATGGTGAAATTTGCATGTTAAGATATAACATAATTGCATAATAACAGTCCTGCAGTGAGTCTGCTATGGTTGTTACTAGTTATTGAAGCTGTTTAAGGGAAGTGTTGATTTAATATGATTATTCTTGAAGATGGTTTGTGATGCTGTTGA